TAGCTACCATGTAGATGCTGAGAACTGAAATCAGGTCCCCTGGAAGAGCAGTGATCTTTATTGTTTTAATTTTGTTTTGTTTTCCAAGACATGGTTTCTCTGTGTAACAGCTGATATCTGCCTGCCTCTACCTCCGCAGTGCAGGGACAAAAGATGTGCAGCACCATGGCCAGGCAAGTGGTCAGTGCTCTTAACCTCTGAGCCATCTCCAGCCTATGGACTTTATTCTCAATATCCCAAGGTTTGAGGAACTCCTCATTCCTATGTGTGAGCTATCAGAGCTGGGCACACCTGTGTGGCTACTGAAACCCACACTCCTATGAGAGGGGCCAACCGCTCTCAACTGCTGAGCCAGCTCTCCTGCCCTCTTTCTTCCTTTTTCTCTCTTTTTTTTTTTTTTTGGGGGGGGGAGGGATGTAGCCTTCCCTGGCTGTCTTGGAACTCACTCTGTAGACCAGGCTAGCCTTGAACTAAGAGATCCACCTGCCTCTGTTCTGGGATTAAAGGCGTTCACTACTACAGCCTGGCTTTTGTTTTATTTTGCTTTACAAACATGCTCTTGCTAAGTAGCCTGGGCTAGACTCAAACTACCAATTCTCTTGCCTCCCCTTTCTGAGTGCCAGGATTACAGGCATGCACAACCATGCCCAACTATATTTTCAAATCATTGCCTACAGTGGTTTGAATAGGAATGATCACCATAGTCTCACACATTTAAATGCTTGGTCCTTAGGGAGTGGCATTACTTGACAGGGACTAGGTGTGATGGTCTTGTTGGAGGACATGTGTCACTGGGGGTGGCTTTGGGGTTTCCAATGCTCTAGCCAGGCCCAGTGGTTCTCTCTTCTTACTGACTGTGGATCCAGATGTAGAACTCTCAGCTCCTTCTCCAGCAGCATGTCTGCCTGCACGCTGCCATGCTTCCCACCATGATGATAACGGACTAAACCATGGAACTATAAGCCAGTCCCAATTAATGTTTTCCCATGGTCATGGTGTCTCTTCACAGCAATAGAACAATGACTAAGTCACTGCACCAAAGGATGGGGACTCTTTTTCTCAACCTCCCAAAGACTAATACTTCTTCTTAGACAATGTGATCTAAGCCATTGAGAATTTTTTTTCTTGTGTTCTTACTCTTGTATGACCATCTCTCACAGGATTGTCAGTAACATAGAGAGAACTATGTCCCTTTGCTTTAACTCCACTTTCAAATAATACTCCGTGGAGAGTAAGGCACAGGTTGGGGGAGTTCCCATGGTAGGGGCCTTGATTTAGGCTTGAAACCCTGAGACTGAGCCCCAGCATCAGCAAATAGATCTGTGCAGCCTACACTGGGCCTTGTACATGCCTGCTGTTTGTACACAGCCAGGTAAGTTCTTAACCTGGGACCTTACTATTCTCCTTTTACAAGAATATGAACTGGGCTCTGTGCTTAAGAGATAGAGGGTTTTCCAGAGAACATGAGTTCAGTTCCCAGTACCCACACCAAGTGACTCACAACTGCCTTAAACTCCCAGGGTATCTAATGCCCTCTTCTGGACTGCACACACACACACACACACACACACACACACACACACACACACACACACACACACACACACACAAATTAAAAAACTAAATCTTAAAAATAAAAGAGCTGGGCAGTGGTGGCACATACCTTTAATCCTAGCACTTGGGAGGCAGAGGCAGGCAGATCACTGTGAGTTTGAGGCCAGCCTGGTCTACAGAGCTAGTTCCAGGACAGCCAGGGCTACACAATGAAACCCTGTCTGGAAAAACCAAAACCAAAACCAAAATAACAGAAAGAATATAGGGTGGTATGGGAACACACATGGGCACGTGATCTCATCTGGGGGAAGGGGAAACATGGCATTTAGGCTGAGCTCCTAAGTGGTTGGCAGGATGAAGACAAACACTGATGTGGGACAGTGTATGAAGCTGACTGGGAAAGCATCTCCTGGGGGACAAGCTCTGTCTCCAGGCCTGTCTTCTGCTCTTGTTCTAGTTCCCTTCATCTTGTGCCTGATTTCAAATACTGTGCTTACTATTGTGGGGAGACAATTCTGACAAATTCTATGATGTGTGCATATGGACTAATCTAAGCTTTAATCTAGTTTTAAATGGGGGGCAAAGAAAAAAATTATCCAAATTTTAGAAACCAAAACGGAAATAAAAACAATTGGTCTTCAAAGAAAACACTAACAAAACCAAAGCAGGAATACTCAGCAGCACTCTGCCCTTGGCCACATGCCTAGTCTTACTTTCCATATCACTTTAAAATGGCTGCACAGAATCCCATAGAATATCTGTTATTAGTAAGCATCCCCTTCTATCCTGAGACTTTCTCACAGTAGAGCTTCAGAAGTGTAATTGACTTATGGGGCAGGCATAATTTAGGGACCTTGTAAGGATGTTTGGTTGTACCCACTCCCATTCCTAGAAAAGAAGTCTGCTCTCAGACTCCAGCAGCCCTCAGCAGAGATGATACACTTCAAACAAAAAATCCCAAGTACAGGTTTTAAAGGAATGCAAACATTTTAGGCTCAAACATATTTCCACTCCTTTAGTTTAAACTTCTTTCATGATCATGCTTCCCACTGACCCCAAACCACATAGAGGCAGCTGGGTCCAGTGACAAAGGCAGGAGACTCACAAGCTCAAGGCCAGCCCAGGAAACTTAGCAAGACCCTGAAATATGAAGGAGTGATTTACTGGTAAAGCCCCTGCCTGGAATAGGCAAGGCTCTAGGTTCTATGCCTAGTACTGCAAACAAAATAATTTAAACCAAAAACATGTAATAAACTTCTGATATGTGCTAATAGCTAACTTAATACAGATAATAGAGGAGCAAGCCCCAAATAATTGTATAACACATATATTTTAACATACATCAATGAATGAATTCTATGGAAATGTTTTACTATATAGATATATGATACATTCAATATATACATGTAAGTGACACATCATATGTTTTGGACTTTCTCATTTGTTCACATTTCCCCAGGTAGAAACCTTCTAACCTCACACACTGACATCAGAGGCATACCTGTGACCATGTAATGCATCAGCATTCACCAGACACTTAACACAGCTCTCCACTTGATACAGAAATAAAAACAAGATGACTGTCTAAAGAAGCAGAGTCCTGCTGAGAAGCTGGAAACAGAGGGTGGTCTGCATAGAGCCATATAAGGATCAAGCAGGCCACTGGGGCCCAAGTACAGCTGTTCCTGTTGTGTCCTTTGTGGTGTAATCCTTGTATTGTGCAGGAAGATGGTTGAGAGCTGGCCTGCCTTATAGGGTGGGAGACAGACCCACTGAAGCTTCTTCAGGGAGGGGCAAGGGGTTCTTTTGCAGTGTGAGGTTCTGGAGAGGTGCAAAGCAAAGAGGCCGCATGTTTGGAGCATACAGTAAACAGGAGAGACAGTATCATGCACAGCCCCTGCTGGAGATGGGCACTGAGCTTAGTGCTTTTCATGGAGTAATGGGTTACACACACACACACACACACACACACACACACACACACACACACACACACACAGGGGGTGGGCAGGATCTGTCATGACTCCCATTTATACACTGCACCAGACTCAGGTGGCTCAAGTGTCAGTGTGGGAAACCGCCAGATGTCAGCCTGGTGTGTTCATACGAGTCTATTTAGTGCAAATGCTACCTCAAGTCACAGCCCTGGGATAGGGGTGGGGGCAGCTCAATGGTAGAGCGCTTGCCTAGCACTGGGGCAAGGTGTCCTGAGTTGTTATCAGTTTTATTTCTAGGTTATTTCAGTGGACAGAATTCAGAAATATCTGTGTTTATCTTTTATGTTTTGTTTCGAGACATGGTCTAGTAGAGCTCAGGTTGGCCTTAAAGTTGGGATGTGTGGAGGCTGGTTTTGAACTCCCTATCCTCCCTGTCCCATCTCCTAGGTGCTGTGGTTACAGGTATCTACCATCATGCCCAGCTAACACACACAATTGTAAACAACAGCCTGAGGTATAGTGAACATAAGGGCATACATGCCCTTAAGGCAAGTTATGGGAGTATGAACTTGTGACCTTTCCCACTGTCAAGTCCCTGGTTTGCTGTGGTAATTCTCTCCATTCTCCTTCCCCTGCTCTTTCTAGTCACCTCTCTTGGGCTTCAGCAAGCAGTTTGAAACATGAAACTCACCTTCAGTTCAGTCAGTTTGATGTCAGAACTGTGTGTGTGTGTGTGGGGGGGGGAGTTGTTTGGTGAATAAGGAAAATCAAATGTATTTATTTCCATAAGTTTATAATATAGTTCACATCACAGACTTTTAGTACACTCTGAGTTCCCAGGAGAGGCTTTGGTAACCAGAGAGGTTTCAGTACTTGTTGATGTTGGCAATTGGAAAGCCTATTCCAGATACTTAAAAGAGTCATCCTTATATTTCTGTTGCTCTACAACCACTTCTGGTACCAAATTCTATATTAGTCAGGATTCTCCAGAGTAATAGAACTTATAGAATGAATCTGTCTTTCTTAAGGAAAGGGATTTATGAGTTCTGGTGTATAGGCAAATATGCAGGCTATATAAATAATAAAATCTGTAAAAAAGAAAATAAAAGAAAAAGAAAAGGGATTTATTAGAATAACTTACAGGCTATGGACCAACTAATCCAACAGTGGCTAACTATGAATGGAAAGTTCAAGAATCCAGGTTTTGGTTGTTCTAAACAGGGTTTCTCTATGTAACCTTGCCTATCCTGAAACTTGCTCTGTAGACCAGGCTGGCCTTGAACTCAGAGATCTGCCTGATTCTGCCTCCCAAGTAAGTGCTGGGATTAAAGGTGTGTGCCACCACTGCCTGTCACCTGCTTGTTTTTTGAAACAAGATCTTGCTGTTTCATAAGGATGTGTTGAATTGTGTCATTGTTGTGGGGCAGAGGCAGGTGAATCTCTGTGATTTCAAGGCCAACCTGGTCTACAGAGTTCCAGGACAGCCAAACACACACAGAAAAACCCTGCCTCCTGTTATTAAGTGAATGAAAGAACGAGTTAGTAAATGGGTGAGATGAATCATCTTCTCCCAGCCCTAACTTTGGCTCGTGGTAGATATAACTTTAATACTCTTTATCCCATGGACTGGGAAGACTCAGGGTCCCCTCGCTGCAGTAGTGCTCTCACTTGCCATCGCTGCTTCCGTTCTCTATCACATCTGACAACATATGCAGGCACCACCTCTGCAGTCTGAGCCTGCTCTTGGGTGAGTTCATTCCATGGAAGATGGTGAGAGTCTAAAGAGCGCCTCATGTGTCACTTTGGACACACTGTCGATGTGCTCACTGTAGAGGAATAAAAAGACAGAAATGGTGGGAACCTCCTATGACCAAGATGTCAGCAGGTGGAGTTGGAGAGATGGCTCAGAGGTTAAGAGCACTGACTGCTCTTTCAGAGGTCCTGTGTACAACTCCCAGCAACCACAAGGTGGCTCACAACTACCTACAATGAGATTTTTGTGCCCTCTTCTGGCCTGCAAGGATACATGCAGGCAGAACACAGTATACACAATAAATAAAAAGATGCCAGCAGGCTAGAATCAAACACCAAAAGGCCAGCAAATGACAGGTGACAGAGAGGGTCTGAACGTTCAGGGTGGAAGTGGGAAAGGGGGGTAAGGAGGTGGGGGTGGGGTGTATAGAACCAAGGAAGACTCTGGGTGGACTGTGGTAAACACACAAGAGGGAAAAAGAAATCAAGGAGGCAAGCAAATTAAAATGGACAGCTGGGCTTAGCTCTCAGGCTAACAAAATCACTCTAGGGGACAAGTGAACAGAGTCCTAGCTCACTGATAATAGGGCTAAATGAATCACAATCCTATTAGTCACCAATGAAAGTGATAGGATCAGCCCACAGGCTTTGGAACAAAGATGAAGTAGCCACAGCAGCATGATGTGAGATGCCAGAGAGAAAGAGGTGCAAAGAGCTGTGAAGGAAGGGGAAAGGAACTCAGAAGCAGCCATGTCTTACAATGGGCTGTGTACAACATTCACTGACCTAGAAGCACTCCTAGGACAAGGCACCATGGCACACACCTGCAACTCAGCACTTGGGCAACTGAGGCAGGAGGCTCTTCATTTTGAGAAAATCTGAGATACATAGTAAGACCCAGTCTCAAACAGTAACATTAATGATGATGGTGATGATACACTTCTGATATGTCTACTTTGCTTGTATCAGGCACTGTGTTCTGGGCTTTACAAAGAGCTGACCAGTTCATTCTGCACATTGACCCTAAACCATACATACCATTATCAATCCCATTTACAGAGAAAGAGCCGGAGACTCAGGATAAGAACCACATAGGGCCATGGAACTAGGAGGTCCTGTGGGAACTGACATTAAAAGCTCAGTGATCTGAGACCACTGCTGCCTCTCTATTCAGCCCTTAAAGGATGACTATGTTTCCAGGCAGTGATGGAGCACACCTTTAATCCCAGCACTTAGGAGGCAGAGGCAGCCGAATCTCTGTGAGTTCAAGGCCAGCCTGGTCTACAGAGTGAGTTTCAGGACAATCAGGGCTACACAGGGAGACCCTGTCTCTGAAAAAAAAAAAAAAAAAATTCCTTTTCTTAGGATTTATTTTAATTTTATGTGTATAAGTGTTTTGCTGGCATGTATATATGTGCACCATGTGCATACCTGGTGCCTTTGGAGGCCAGAAAAGGGCATTAGATACCCTGGAACTAGAATTACAGATGGTTGTGAGCTGTCCTTTGGGTTCTGAGAGTTTACCCAGTTGCAGAGCCCAGCAAAAAGGAGTCCTTTTGGGTAGAGCCTGGCCAGGACTACCAGCCAGGCATGCTTCAAGACTTCCTGACCACAGAGGTGGCAACAATGAAATGAAAATTACCTATGGTTCTCTGATACTCTCTATAATCCCCACACCTTGACCTTTTCTGTAGGGTAAACCAAAAGGGAACCTGTGGTCCTCATTAATGTTTACCTGGGGTAGTCAGCTGACACTGGTGTTTATACCATCCCTTTGTGTGTGTAATATGATATCTGTGTGTGGGGCACATGTGTACTATGGCACACATGTGTCAGTCAGAGGACAATCTTGTCTTCTACCTTGTTTGAGATAGGGTCTTTTTGTTGTGACTTACAAGCTTCTGGGGATTCTCCTGCCTCCACTTCTGTTTCCTTCTCATTGTAGGAATTCTGGGATTATAGGTGCAGGCTGGGTTCTAGATCAGGTCCTTATGCTTGTGTGGCAAGCACGTGTGCGTGCGTGCGCGCGCATGTGCATGTGCGATCCTTTTAAAATTCTGGTTTCTTTTTTGTGTATTTCACAGCACACACAGTATACTCACACACAATTTTTTGTTGTTGTTGTTGTTTTGTTTTGTTTTTCTAGACAGGGTTTCTCTGCATTGTTTTGGAGGTGATCCTGAAACTCACAGAGATCCACCTGCCTCTTCCTCCTGAGTGCTGGGACTAAAGGCGTGTGACCCACTGCACAATTTTTTTTTCTTAGACCTCCAGAACTAAATAAATGTCTTTTTGTCATAATATTCAGCCTTGGTTGTTTCATTGTGGCAACAAAAAGAACTAATTCGTCGGTTTTTAAGGGTTTTAAAAGAACCAATGTACTTGTTCTCTTAAAGCCCTTTTGCCCCAGCCTCCTAAGTGCTGCAATTACAACCGCATGCCACCACTTTCTGTTTGTAAATGGTTTCTTAAGGGCTAGTTTCTGAAACATTTTTATGAGCCAAGACTGAGAAAGTCTAGGGATTCCTGATTAACAGGTACAGACAGGTTCCAAGTACAGACAAGGATTTGTGGTAACCTTTACAAGCCCCCCAGATGTGAACACAGAACCTGCTATTGGGTTTCTGGAAAGCCAAATCGAATCAGTTATGCCCTTGCTGACTATCTTCCAGTGGTCCCCAAGACAAAAATCCAAGGGCTTCATAGAAGTCTCCTTGTTTGTCCAGAGACAGTTTACAAGCCCCTGATGTCCTGCCCATACCCTGCCCCATCTCCTCCCATGTGGCGGCCCCTACCTTCATGAGCCTTTCCCCATCACGTGTGCTCTCCCTCTCCCTGCTGAGCTCTTCTCCACCCCTGGCTCTGCTCTCCTAGCTGCTGCCTCTTTCATATGCCCCCTCCTTCTGCCAGGAAACTGTGCCAGACTCAGTGACATCAATCTTGCATGGCTCCTGGATTCCTGCTTCATCTTCCCAGGGCTCCCAGTACCATGGGCCTCTAACTTGCTGATTGGTGCATTTGCTGTCTGGCACCAAGCTGCTTGTCACCTGGAGCTGTGGGTACCTACTGCTGCATCCCCACAGGTGCCTGTGGCAGTAGACTGAACCTGTGTCTGTGCTTGCGATACTGTGACTAGTCCCTACGTCAGAAAAGTTTAATTTTCATATGAGGTCACTGTACCAGGCTTATTTTCTTAATGTTCAGCACAGGGTAAACCACTGGTAAATGGAGCTGTCATTGTCACCTGACAGTGTAGTACTATTGTGGAAATACTTCAAATTGCAGGAGGACGTAAAATGTCTGAAGGATGCAGTGGTCCTGCACAAAGCCCCCCAGCCAGGTCTCTCTGGCAAACCCTGAGGAGCTAAGCTGGAGGGTGAGGACTTTCTAGTTCCCTGTCTTCCCACTCTGGCCCACCTCACCTGGTACTGGAAATAGAACCGATTCTGTAGGGGCTTTTTAGGCCCAGGGAATAGTTATCCACAGGGTTTCGGAATGAGAAAGAGGACTGGAGAATCTTCCGTTTCTCTTCTACCTCCTTCTTTTTCTTCCTGTGGGGAAGCAAAATGGGTGTCAATAAAACCAGTTCAGAAATTTAGGGGGTTTCTTCAGAACAGTTTCACTGGCACTTTGATACACACTGGGAGAAAAGTAAGAGTTGGCAAGGCTGGTGGAAGGAATGGAAGTGGAGTGTCCACACAAGGCCACACCCCCTCATTAATCTTCTCATAGCAGCCTGAGGGCCAAGACTGAACTCTCCGGCAAGATGACACTGACCTTGAGGACAAGCACACACACAGGGCAGCAGATACACCAGTCTGTACCTCCAGGGATTAACTTGTAATGCCTCAAACTGTCACGAGAATTAAAGGTTTTTATTTCCTAGAGAAACTAAAATAAAGAGGCCAGCGACCTAAAGAAAATAAAGGGAACTGAGAAGACACCTGGGGGAGGTGGAAGCAGTTGAAGTCAGAAGAAAACCAGTATGATGTGTGGAAGACGTATGAATAACTCAGCAAGGGGTGGAGACATTGCAGCCATGAGGAGGATGAAGATGCTATCTCATGCTACCTTCTTTTTAATCTCTTCCACCACTGGATTCTGCCTTAAAATTATTATTTTATATTTTATCACAGTCTCTATATGGAACCATCATTATGTGGTTTTGATTGTTTGTTTGTTTCCGAGACAGAGTCTCACTATGTAGCTCTGGCGGTCCTGTAACTCACTCTGTAGACCAGGCTGGGTCTTGAACTCCCAGAGATCCACTTGTCTCTGCCTCCTGAGTGTTGAGATTAAAGGGGTGCACTTTTTTTTTTTTGTTTTTTTGTTTTTTTGTTTTTTTTTTTAACAGTGCAGGGAACAAGTTATATAAGGATGACTCTCCAGGGATGAGCATGGGCATAGCTTTCCTGGCTCTTGCCCTTTCTGGGGCTATGGGTGGGTGTGAGTATGCCATTATTATTTAGACGTTGTAGCTTTAGTTTGTAAAGTTTATGTCTTTCAGGATATATTCAAACAAAACTTTTTATGATGCAGGCATCACAGCCGTTTCTTATTGTAGGGCATCTAAAGGTTCATCTCCAGCCAACATGTAAACTGTAAACAAGTGATCACTGGGGCTGGAGAGATTGGTCAGCAGTTAAGAGCACTTGGTGCTCTTACAGAGGGCCTAGGTTCAATTCCCAGTATCCACATGGCAGCTCACAACTGTCTGTAACTCTTGTTCCAGGATTTCTGACACCCTCTTCCGTCATTCTTGGGCTCCTGCATGAATGGAGTATACATATCTGCATGCAGTCACATAGACATAGAATTTTTTTTTTTTAAAAATCCCTCAACCTCCCCATAAAACTTCTGGGACCACAGGTCTCAAGAAAAAGTTGTGGCAAGAGAGCGGGGATGGAGAAAGGCACTGAGACGAATGATGAGGGGTGGAGAGAGAGTGAGCAGGTAGAACAGATGTGAGAAGCCAGCTGCCAGAAAGACTAGAAAACCCTCCTGGCCATGGCTACAGGTGACAAAACAGAGCATGTGGGAGAAGCAGAGCCCCAGGATCTTGGGTTGAAGAAGGTGGTGCTTTGTGAGTGATCCCAAGTTGCATCTGAGGTTCCAGGCTCTCAGCCCTGATGTAGCTCTCTAGCCCACCTTCACCTTCAGAATCAGGACCCCCCGTTTCTTTCTTCCTTAATAAGCTGTCTCTATCACAATCTACATATCCCTAGTCTGTAATGAGTACGGTTTTTCCTGCCGGCAGCCTAGTCTTGTCCTGCCGCCACGCTGCCAGCCCCAAATAATGCACAGACTCTGTATTAGATATAATCCTGTTGGCCAGTTACTACTTTCTTATCGGCTAGCTCTGTCTTAAGTATTAACCCATTTGTGTTAATCTATGTATTTCCACGTGGTCTTCTTACCCGGAGCCGGCTGCCGCGTACTGCTCTCTCCAGACTCTCCATCTTGGCTCCTGCTTACTACTTCCTCTTTCCTCCTTGTCTCCTAGTCCCTCCTATCTTGCTTTCCTATTGGCCAACAGTGCTTTATTCATTAACCAGTATGAGAAACATATATACATAATGACATCTCCCATCACTAGTCCAGTCCTTTGTTCTGAGACACAGGAACGGGAAAGCTCAGTGGTGTCCTTTGGACTCAGACATGCACCTGCTTACCTCCCCCATGTGGTGAGGAATCTCCCATCATTCACACTGCACATTTTCTAAGGCTTCTGTTTGAACAAACCTTGAGAGAAACGCCGTTTCCTTGTAGGGGCTTCCTCTGAATTTCTTGTCGAACAAGTCATCAAACAGTAACGAGGGCGAGAGGAAGGCATGGTTGGCCTTTCTATTTTCTGCTGCTTTTTTATCTATAATATTCACCTCCCTGGGATATAAAATGACAAAAGACATGTATTGAAAAAGGATGAAATGCTGGGCAGTGGTGGTGTACACCTCTAGTCCCAGTACTCGGGAAGCAGAGGCAGATGGATCTCTGTGAGTTCAAAGCCAGGCTAGTCTATAGTGCAAGTTCCAGGAAGAGAAACTCTGTCTTGAAAAAGAAACAAAAGAAAAGAGAGAGAGAGAGAGAGAGAGAAAAGATGAAAGAGTCAATGTGATTTTTGTTGTTGTTGCTATTTGTTTTGTTTTAGACAGGGTTTCTCTGTGTAGCTAGCCCTGGCTGTCCTAGAACTCACACTATGGACCAGGCTGGCCTTGAACTCACAGAGATTCTCCTGCCTCTGCCTCCTGAGTGCTGGGATTAAAAGTGCTCATACCATAGCCTGGCTGCAGTGTGATCTTTTCTGCCGGTCTACCAAGAAACAGCTGACCACACAGGGGTCACCACATCCCAGATACAGACCGCTGGGGTTTTAGAATGGACATAAAATGAAACTACAGAGGAGATGAGGGCTCCAGCATCTTAAAAGAAAGCTGGTATATGTATAGTCTCAGAAGGAAGACGAATCTGCTAGGGCTTTGCTGCTTGCTGTGTGATCTTGGGGAAATTACTTCGCTTCTTCGTGCTAGTGTGTTCACATGGTCCACTAGGATTGTGGTGAGGTGTGAGTTAGTGTAGGTAAAATGTTTACTAGTGCCAGGCACACAGGAAATGCTCAGTAAGTGTTAGTAACTACTGCTACTGGAAGCTTTGGGTAGAGTGTCTTAACAGGGTACACAATGGCTTTGCTGAACTGGATAACCCTCAGTTGGCTTTTGAAATGCAAGTAGACAATTAATTAATGAAGAACCAGGTTATGAGTAGTCAAAGTCAAGAAATAGTCATTAATGTGTGAGGTAAGATGTTGTCATAAGGGGCTACACTGATGGCTTAGCAGTTACTAGCACTGGCATCTCTTGGAGCGGACCCATGCCCAGTACTCAGCACCCAAGGGCAGGCAGTTCACATCCATTTGTAATTACAATTCCAGGACATTCAACAACCTCTTTTGACTTCTACGTAGGTACCAAGTATTACGGTGGTATACATACATACATGTAAGCGATATACTCACACACATAAAAAATAATTTTTTTAAAGATGATGTAATAAACTAGGTTGGCAGTACACACTCAACTACTCAGATTCAAGGCAAATCATAGACCACACACACACACACACACACACACACACACACACACACACACACAGAAAAGTGGGGAGATGGCTGTATATACTTCTCTGTTTCCTTTAGGGCAGACATCACAAGGACAGAATCAAATGTAGGAACATTTCCTGGAGTTTTTCCAATAGTATGACAAATCATGAGTGCTCTGTTGCAGATATGCTGGAGGTCTTGAGCTCTGGATTCACAGGAAACAATTCCCCAGCAATGGCCCTGAGCCTGCTCAGTGCAACCCTCAGGAGGACAGACAGTCTCCTTCCCCACTACAGGAGGTTCAGCAGCTGCCTGATTGATGGCCTTGGTTGTTCCCCATCTTCCAGCTACAAACTTTCTGGCTAAAATGCCTTGTGTTGCTAGGGACCTGCAGTGCCCTGACATGCGGTCCCCCATCTCCCCTTCATCAGCCAACACCTCTGAGCCAGGCTAGATCTACTCCATGAGGCAGGTGCAAGTACTAGTCCTGTTCATGGAAGAGGTGTCTGTCCATAGCCTTCACAGCTTGACTGGGGAGCCTTACTGATATGACTAATAAGACACAGCTTTGATCTGCCCAACATCAGAGCCAATTTTCCTGACCTGGGCTTTATTAGGGAAACAAATTATATGTCCCCAAATGTCCTACCCTGCCTTTGAGTCATCTTCCACATGACCACTTTCATCCCAGTGCTGGCCATCATTTAAAAAACAAAGCAGAATACCATTTTGTTATTTATACATTCGGGGGACTAGGGACATGCCTCAGTTGGTAAAGTGCTAGCCGTGAAAACATTAGGACATGAGCATATCCCTAGTACACATGTAAAGGCCAGGCGTGGTGGGTGGTGCGTCTCAATCCCAGTGCTGGAGAGGCAGGGACAGGAGGGTCCCTGGAGCTTACTCCAGCTTTAGGAGGAGACCCTGTGCCAGAAGCTAAGTAGGAAGAGTGCTAGAGAGGGGTCTCCGTGGTTAAAAGCCATCGCTGGGCAATCAATTAGGGCCAGAGATTGGCTCTCAGAACCCACATAAGCTAGGCATCAAAGACAGGTATATTTCTGGGGCTTGCTGGCATAATCTTCGCAGAGGAAACACAGCATAAACAATGCTGATGCCCTCTCCTATCCTTATGCACATTCACAGGAAGCCAGGTCTATTTCTGGAGTCCAGTTAGACTCCAAGTTGGGATGCTTCTGCTCTGTCTTTCTTCTTTCTTCCTTTCTTCTTTTTTAAAGATTTATTTACTTATTATGCATACAGTATTCTGTCTACACATATGCCTGCACACTAGAAGAGGTCACCAGATCCTGACAGATGGTTGTGAGCCACCATGTGGTTGCTGGCAATTGAACTCAGGAAGAGTAGCCATTGCTCTTAACCACTGAGGCATCTCTCCAGCCCCTGCCTCAGTTTTCTAGTTGCTGGGATTACAGCCATACACCAAGATGTCAGCCTTTAAAAAAAGAATGCTCCCCTCCCATGGCATGGGGAGGAGGTGCAGGAGATAGGCTCCTAGTCTGTAGTCTACTTTGGCCTAGAACTTGAGGTAATTCTGCCTCAACCTTCCTGAGTGTTAGAATTACAACTGTCAGCTACAACAAAGTGGGGAAATGCACTTGCCCATGTGTGCACGCACACAGTTACACACACACACACGCACAGACACGCACACACATTCTAAAGAAAGGAGCTAGGGTCTGGGAATGAGCTGGTTCTAATTTGGCCACAGGAAAGCTGATTGTGCTCAGTGAAGGCAGTGAGCAAGCTAGCAGCCCCACCCCACTCCAGCTGAACCCTGCTGGCTGTTGCCGTGGACATGCGTCTACTCGTGGCTCTGTGTCCACACCCCCCTACCTGTTGAAGTTCTCTTGCAGCTCTGTTAGGTAGTTGTTAAAGTAGGTCCACTCGCTCTCATGTAGCTGGTACAGCTGCCTGAGCTTCCTTCTTCGTGTCTCCATGTTCTTCGTGACCAGGTAGATGATGTCAGCATAGGTCATGGCAGAGTCAGTGGATACTACTGTCAAGGAACAGCCCACTGTGTTGCCCCCACGCCCTGCTAGTGGCTGAGCCTCATGTACAGGGAAGGAGCGTGGACTATACAAAGGACAATGTTTGGTGCTTTGGGGTTCTAGAGGAAGTACCCCAAATCCATACAGTGATCTTCTGAGGCCGACTAGGGCTACCCTGGCAATGAAGAAAGCTGCCCTCTCCGTAGCCAGGCAGTGTCCACCTTGTCATAAAGCCCCATTTGATCTTGTGCATGGTATGGAGGCAGAAAATGCTGCCTTAGATTGTCCAAAGGCATCTGCTGCTGGGCAGTGTTTCCAGGGGGCTCCCCAGCATCACCAGTTTTTTTCTACAGATCACCACCAGCTTAGTTCTGAGTCCAGCTGGGCTTGGAGTCTGTCATCACAATGACCAAGGGGAAGGGACTCCAACATCCCTCTCCTTGGAGACCTGATGGCTCATCTGTTTTCTGGTTTGGTGTTTGGATTTTGTTTGGTTTGTTTTTTAAAGATAGTCTTACTCTGTAGACCAGGCTAGCCTTGAGCTCACAGAGATTCACCTGCCTCTGCTTCCTGAGTGCTGGATTAAAGGTGTGCACAACAAGCCCAGCTGGATTTGGTTTTAAAACTGGATCCAGCTAAGTAGTCTTAGTTAATAGTTAGCTTACTGCTCCACCCTCCCGAGTGCTGGCATTATGGGTGCATAACACCACACTCAGCTTCACTGTCCATTTCAAGTTTAAAATTGAAAGGGCCCCTCTTTCAGTCATGTGTGGTGATGCACACCAGTAATCTTGGCACTTGGAAAATGAAATTAGGAGGATCAAGTTCAAGGACACAGGAAGTTCCAGGCCAGCCAGAGCTGCATGAGACACTGTCTCAAACACCAAAACAAACAAGACCTTCCTCCTATGCTGCACTCCCACCCTTCCTTAGAATCTCGGCTACATTTGTGACAAGTGGTGGGACTTCCACTGTCACCCTCTATGTCTCCATTTTCCTGTCTATGAAAGAGGATAAAAGCCAGGTCTGGTGATTTACACTTGTAATCCCAGAAATTGTGAGGTTGAAACAGGAAGATTGCCCTAAATTTGAGGCCAGCCTTAGCTATATTGTGAGACCCTAACTCAAGAACCTCTCCAAAAGAAGAGATAACTCTTCCTGTAGAGGATGATGAAACAGCTCTTCATAAAGTGCCTGTTATATACCATCCAGTCACAACATTACTAGGTTGGCGGGATAGCTTCACTTTGGGAGCTTGGAGGATAAAGCTGTAAAGCTGCAAAGGTTGGTTGGTATATCCCAGCCAGGCGCTATGTCTGGAGCCACAGTGACCTAAAGAACGGGGTGATGCCAGGACAATTTGGACCATGCTGCATAGTGGCAGCTCTCACTATCCTTCAGAAATCTGTGACATGAAGCCCTAAGGGCAGGAGAGGAAACGGCCTCCTGGTGCCCTCCAGTCCATGAACCAGCGAGGGCAACAGAGTACCAGACATGCACTAGGCACCCTCTGTTGCTCTGGTTATCAATCTGCGAAAGTGCCCCTGCAGCCGGGTGTGGTGGTTTCCGTCTTTACTCCCAGCACTTGGGAGACATAGGCACGCAGATCTCTGTGAGTTTGAGAACAGCCTGGTTTGCAGAGTGAGTTCCAGGACAGCTGAGCTACACAGAGAGATTTTGTCTCAGAAAACAAACAGTACCCCTGAGGCAGAAACCCTTATTTTGATTTTACAGACGAAAGAAGTGGTGCCCACAGAGAAACTGGAATGTTTCCCAAGTCACTGGCTGGCTAGTGTAGCATTAGTTCTAGAGACTGGAGCTTTTTGGACAAACAGAGCAAACTTGATTCCTAGTAGAAACCATGTTCTAACCCCAAGGCATGTTGCTAGGGCTCAGGGTACCAACACATGCTGCAACTGTTTCCCAAGAATTGAGCTTTTTACCAAATGGAGCTGAGAAAGAGATTAGATAAACCTCACATGGACGGCAAAACTGATGGCCCATACACTTTTGGGACAGTGAGCATCAGGGTTACTATGGTCCCTAAGTTCATGCTGAAAGATGTAGATGGGAAAATTCGACATGGTCAGGACCCAAGGCCTACATTGAGGCTCACCTTAGCACATGAGCAAGACTCTACTCCCTGAGGTACATACCATAGCTGTGCCTACCAAGTACCCACTGTGTACCAGGCTACTAGCTAAAGTCTGGATGCCTCCCCTCATGCCCTGCTTCTGCAAGAAGGTGGCAGGAGCGTAGTGACAAGGATATGGGACGACTTTGGTCTTTTCTCTCCTGCTGACCAGGACATCCTGGCCATGCTGCTGCAGCTTGGAATAGTTGAGGAAGAAGTATACGATCAGCGGGCTGTTCCCATAAAGATTGAATTGGTTTGAAGTCAGCTTGGGGCTTTTGCAGGCAGGGTGGGACTGGGGGTGGGGGGGGAGAGAAAAGGAAAGGATATTGTTCTGTGTGATGATGAGTGCTGTAAACTTGGCAGGAATTTGAGTCACTCAAAGAACAAATGTGAGGGATTATTTAGCTTCTGGGCATATCTGTGAGGGATTATCTTGATTGATTAAAGGAAAAGATCCATTTTTACTGTGAGTGTGGCCATTCCTGTGTAGGGATCCAGGACTGTCTGGCTTGGAGAACATGAGCTCAGAACTATCATTCATGGCTCTCTGCTTCCTGAGTGTGGTGGACACAATGTGACCACCTGCCTCAAGCTCCTGCTGCTGTCAACTCCCCACCTTCATGGTCTCTCCCTTGGGTTGTTCTCTCAGGGTTTATTTATTTATTATACAGAGTTCTGCCTGCATGTATCCCTGCAGTCTAGAAGAGGACACCAGGTCTATTATAGATGGTTGAGAGCCATCTTGTGGTTGCTGGGAAGAACAGCCAGTGCTCTTAACCACTGAGCAATCTCTCCAGCCAACCTTCTTAGGGAATCTTATCATAGTAGTAGGAAAAGTAATTGACATTCCATGTTTCCAGCACCCATGCCTCTGACCCAGTAAGTCCAGTTTTAAGATACCTCTTCAAGGAATGGCCAAAACAAAACAAATAAACAAAAAAAAAAAGGATCTATGTGTATGTGGTCTATTGCAATAACAAATAGCTGTTTCCCTCATCAGGATAGCAAGAGATAATTAGACAGTTTGCAACATAGGCCTAGGGGCAAGTGAATTCCAACTGTACTATTTTCTTGGGGAAACAATCTATTGTGTGCATTTTGCTCTAGCAATTCCATGTCTGTAAGTTTTTCCTCCATGTACACTTCACATGTGAGATAAGACACACACACACACACTTAAAAACCTTTAAGGCTGAATTTTTCACTGAGAATGAAAATTAACATTCTAATTAATAAGCAGGCTCTTAAAAACAGAGCTGAATGTGATGGTATACACAGCCAGCACTTGGGAGGTAAAGGCAGGAGTATCTGTACTTCAAGGCCTGGGCTGGGAAACAGTGAGACCTTGTCTTAATTGAAAACAAAAAAAAGTCAAGTCTCAGCACTTTTTCCCATTGCTCCTGCAGGTTCTCAGCTGCCCCAGTTGTCATCGATGTTAAAAATCTGTCACTATCCAGTCTAACTTCTCCTACCCAGACAAACCACAGATTAGGACATGACTGCTCCACTCTTTTCCTTTAGTCCATGAAGTAGATCCAATAGCTGTTAGCACAAGAGACCAAAGATGGCCCAAGCTGGTTTTCTATTTTCCAGACAAAGGCCACTGACATTAATCTTGCACAGGGTGGTGAGGGGTGACATAGAGATATGAAGCCACAGAGAAGGTATATTTATTTCTGTAATGGAGAAGGAAGCAGGCTTACAGCTCTCTTCCTGATATACATGAGGGTCTGAACTTAAGTAGAAAGAAATATTATTTACACCTTCAGAGAACAAGGTCTGGCTCTGTAACCCAGGATAGTGTAGAACTTGCTATATAGCTCAGGCTGGCTGGAATGCTTAGCAAAATCCCAAATCAGCCTCCTAAGGGCTGGGATTACAGGTGTGAGCTACCACACCTGGCTCCAGCAGGGAATTTAAAAATAGACAAAACATTCTGACCATGTGTGACTTCTTAACCCAGAAATCATCCTTAGGAGATCTGCTGGCATCATCTAAGTGGTAATCAGAAACACCACTGATCTTACCTGCCACCTTCGTGAGATGAAGATGCTTTGGCCATATCTCCTTTAAATTACCTCTGCTCTTAAGTTGGAGACACTCAGCAGTTAAGAATGTTTGCTGCTCTTGCAGAGGATACAAGTGTGGTTTCCAGTGACCATGTTAGGTGACTCACAAAAGCCTATAACTCCAGCTCCAGGAGTTCAGACACCGTCTGGCCTCTGAGGTCACTTGTACTCACATGCACACACACACTGGCATGCACACACAATCACAAGCACTCACACTCACACATGTGCACACACTCTAATGCATACACAATCACAAGTATGCATGCACACTAAAAACAATGAAATAGATCTTAAATTTCCAATCTTATGCTCACCTTTTTCAGAAACAAACTCACACATGCTCTGGCTTCCGATATTCTCTTGACTTGCTGTGTGGCTTTCCTGGAGAACAGGGTTGACACAGGGTGATCTGTCAATGGGATACAGAAAAAGGGTGATCATGGGTAGTTGTCCAGTGAAAAAGAAGAGATTGGGGTGGGTCTCAGTTTCCTGCTAGAGTGAAAATGCTATAGTGTGTTGGGATTGGTGCAAGATGTCAGTCCTCTATAGCTACAGGGGAGCCAGATAGACGGCTATAGGCCGTGTTGGATCATCTCTGTCTGTCCATCCTTGTTCTATGCCACAAATAATCATTGAACATCTACTCCATCCCAGGTTCATGCTGGGTGCTAGAAACAGATTATCTTCAAGGATCTCCTAGTTTACTTAGCAAAAAAGGACACATAAATAATAAGTGTCACACTAACTCAAGTGCTATGATAAAGTATCTATAGAAACAGTGTGGATGAACTGAAAGGTGCTGCCACACCTTTAGTCCCAGCACTCGGGAGGTAGAGGCAGTCAGACCTCTGTTGAGTTTGAGGCCAGCCTGGTCTATAGAGTTAGTTTCAGACAGGCTCCAAAGATACACAGAGAAACCCTGTCTCAAAAAAAAAAAAAAAAAAAAAAAAAAAAAGAAAAGAAAAGAAAAAAAGAAAAAGAAAGAAAGAAAAAAGAAAAAAAGAAAAAGAAAGAAAGGAAGGAAGCAAGCAAGAAAGAAAAGAAACAGTGTGGGATTACAGAATAAGGAAAGACACAACGCAGCAACAGAATGGGTGTTGTGGCTACAAGACAAAAAACAATCCAGCTTCTGCCCAAAACTGTGGTTCCCCGTAGAAGGTTAGCAGAAAATGGCTTGAATACAAGCAAAAACAAGACAGGTCACCAAAAACAGAGTGCCAGCACAGCTACAGAGCTCTCTGTGGTAGCACTGGAAGGCAGAGAACAGTGGAATCAAATCACCTACACACCAAGAGAAAAAGTACCATTAGTCTAGGATGGGGATGTAGCTCAGTGGTAGAGAGCTTGACTAACATGGATTCATCCTCCAGCAGCAGGAAGGAAGAAAAATGTCTTGAGCTGGAGAGATGGTTCATAGGTTAAGAACACATGTTGCTCTTCCAGAGTTCAGTTCCCAGCATCCACATCAGGAAGCTCACAATGGCCTTCAACTTCAGCTCCAGGGAATCCGGTGTCCTCTTCAGGATTCCAAGGATATCCAACACCTGTGGCATACACTTTCAAAAAATGTACACACATACACATAATATTGAATAAATATAAAAATTCCAGGGCTGTAGAGATGACTCAGCAGTTAAGAGCACTCACTGCCCTTTCAGAGGACCTGGGTTTGGTCTGAGCACTCACAGTGGCAGCTCACACCTTCTGTAATTTTAGCTCCAGGGGATCCAACATCCTCTTCTGGCTTTAATCCCACACCCACACATGTGGTGATACAGTATTTATGATTTATTAAAGCTTGCCTGAGGATTCAGAAAGCAAAGTCAGCCTCAAGCTATAGAGATCAGATAGTGGTGGAACACACCTTTAATTCCAGGACTCAGGAGAAAGGCAGATGGATCTGTGAGTCCAAGACCACCCTGGGCTACTGGAGAGTGAATCAGAGCTCACGCCTTTAATCCCAGGATTTAAGAAGTATAAAAGGTAGAGGCATTCAATCTGAGATTCAGTCTCTAGCCATGTTGAGGAGAGCATAGCAGTCTGAATGAATCTGAGAAGCGGTGAAGTCAGGAGCAGTTTGAGGATCGCCCCTTTGGTCTGAGCTGAGGTAAAGGTAAGAGATAGTGGCTGACTACTTTGCTTCTCTGATCTTCAGCTTGAAGCCTGAACCCCAATATCTGTCTCTAGGTCTTTCATTTATTGTGCTACAAACACTCACACTCAGAAAATAATAAGAGAAAAAAATTCAAAGCTGTGAAACTGAGGTAAGATAGAAAGACAAATTATGGGGACATAAGAAAGGTGGGGAAGCCAGTAGTGGTGGCAGACATCTTTAATCCCAGCACTCCAGAGGCAGGTGCATCTCTGTAAGTTTGAGGCCAGTCTAGTCTACAGATCGAGTTCCAAAACAGCTAGGGCTACACAAAGAAACCCTGTCTCTAAAATCAAGAGGGGTGGTGGGGAGCCCAAATACCCTAGAGTCTGATTGACATCTTGCCAGCTAAGAAGCAAAAAATCCAGCACAACTAACCACATCTGTGGGAAAGGTTGATCACAGTTCATACCCTTTATATGCAGGCCCTTTGTGTTCAAACAGCAGTTAAGGCCTGAATGTGTATGAACCTGGATAGGGACTCATTCCTTTCTCTAGATATGGCATGGAATCTTGCCAAAACTTAACTTGGTTTACAGTGAATATACACTTGCCAAGGGTGGCACATGACTTTAATCCCAGCACCTGGATGGTAGAATAAACTGAATTCCATTAGTTTGAGGTCAGCCTAATCTACACAACATGGAAGGATGAAAGAAAAAAAAAAAAAAAAAAACCCACCTTCTTATTCCTGGTGCACTAGACTTTCATTTTATCAGCTGAACTCCTGATTCCCCTTGGATCATCCAGAGATGAGATAGTAACTTTAAACCCCACCAAAAATCTAATATATCATTATTGTATCATTTTGTTGTGGAATATTAACTATGTAAAGATGCATTACATTTGCCAGGTGTTGGTGGCACACGCCTTTAATCCCAGCACTCGGAAGGCAGAGACAGGCAAGCCCGGTCTACAGAACAAGTTCCAGGACAGGCTCCAAAACAATACAGAGAAACCCTGTCTCGAAATACCCTCCCCCCCAAAAAAAATGTTACATTTATTTATATTGTGGAATATTACTTTAACTGTGTTGCATTTCTTTATGCTGCATTAGTTTAATGATGTAAGAATGTGTGCTTAATTATGTAAGGATGTGTTGCATTTATTTCACCTTGCCTACTGATGGGTCTAATAAAAAGGGACAATAGGTAGGCAGAAGAGGGATAGGCAGGGCTCATGGGCAGAGAGAATACATAGGAGGAGAAATCAAGGCTTAAGAGAGGAAAGGAGAAGAGAACAGGGAGAAAAACAGGGACAGGTTGGGGGCCAGAAGCCAGGCAGCCACCAGCCAGACATGAGAAGCAGTGAAAATAAGATATACTGAAAGAAAAAAGGTTAAAAGCCCTTAGGCAAAAGGTAGATAAAGAGAAACAGGTTAATTTAAGTTAAAAGAGCTAGCCAGAAATAGCTTAAGTTAGGCTGAGCATTCAAAACTAATCAGAAGACTCCATGTCACGATTTGGGAGCGGTTGGTAGGCTAAAAGAAAAAGCCTGGTCCAACACTTCTCTTAGAGAAGCCCACACTTGTGCTCTTGGGTGTGCTTCATTTTCTTCTGAGTCCCTCCTTTCTCCTGATCCTTGTGCTTTAACCTATATTGAAATATCTTCAATGACTGGAGAGATTACTCAGTGGTTAAGAGTGTTAGTTGCTCTTCCAGAGAACCAGAGTTTGGCTCCCAGTCCCCTTCTACAGGGGCTCACAACTGCCTGGAACTTCAGCTCCAGGGTACCTGTGGCTCTCCTAGGCCTCTGAGAGCATCTGCACAGATGTGGCACACACACACACACACACACACACACACACACACACACACACACACACACAAATATAAATAAAATAATCATAAATGGGTGTGCGGTTAATAAAATCTCTACCTCTGCTTTCCTATAGTGATGGGCCTTGAATTCTTTTCAGCACTGAAGCTATGAGTTCTAGTTTAGACTGACTAAATGTCCCCAAATCCCAGGGAACTCCTCAGGCTACTCAGGATGGCACTGTGGAATTGCATCCTATGATCCCGGACACTCTTGACACTTGAGGTGCTTGTATAACCAAAACACCACCCTCTCCTAGCCGTTGCTTGGTGCCAAGGCCCAGGTCAAACCCAAGGGCAAAGCAAGTCTGTTCAGATGGATCTATGCAGCACGGCTTCATGGCCAGATGGCTTTGCCCTCCATAGCAGCCTGCTTACCTTTTGTGGTGTGCTGGCATCGTGAGCTTTCCTCTGAGGTCAGCCTCCTTGAAAAGCTTCTCTCGTGGGATGCATATAAACTAGAAGACTTCAGGGGAGCATTTAAAATAAAATAAAGTTAGCAAAACTGATATGCAAGAAATGTTTGTGCCTTAGCTGTACCTCATTGTTCTCAGTAAAGGAACATGTGTGAAAAGAGCTTTCTGGCCCAGCAGGACAGTTTTAAAACCATGGCAGACAGCAGGGGGTCAGAGGGAAAAACACAAAGGGAAGACATGAGTGGGGACCAGGCAGCAGTGGCGTGTCACTCAGCTGCTAGGGCTCTGGAGCAATGACTGAATTTCTTTGTTCCCTGGGGTTCCTTAAAGATGAAGCCAACTAAGCCAGATGGTGGGACATGCCTTTAATCCTGGCTCTTGGGAGGCAGAGGCAGGCAGATCTCTGTGAGTTCGAGACCAGCTTGGTCTACAAGAGCTACTTCCAGGACAGTCTCCAAAGCCACAGAGAAACCCTGTCTTGAAAAAACAAAATAAATAAATAAATAAATAAATAAATAGAATAAAAAAGATGAAGCCAACTACCACATGCAATGTGTGTGCACTGTGGCTCCCAGAAATGGCTCCAAGGCCACTGTGGTCATCTCTAAGCAGTCGCAGTCTGGCAGTATATGACCTTCATCAGTATTTCTTCGAGCAACTACTGTGGTATCTGGTGCTTGTCAATCACTGAAACCGACTGCCTGTCTTGAAGCCCTCCCAGACATTTTCTTACCAGTGGCTCAAGCTAGAACCTGTTCTCCCACAGAGCCATGCTAAGTCTCAGGACTCCTGACTCCCCCACTTTCAGGTTTCACTCTAAGGACACTGTCCTCAGAGACCAAGACAGCAGCCAAAGCTCCAGTCACCACTCCAGGGGGCTGGATATGAGGGGAAACTGGGAAGGACCCCATAAACTGTCACTGACCCAACCGACCACAGTCACACAACAATGTAGGAGAGTCAAGGAAATATCTTTATTATGGTCATGTACTTGTACAACAACAATACAAAAATCCTAAGTGTGACAGCAAGTGATTGACAGAATTTGAGGGAAAGGAGCCCTGAATCACTGCTGATGTGGGGTACAAATTAATACACCTTTTATGAAAACCAGTCTAGGGATTTCTCAAAAAATTAAAACTAGAACTACCATATGACCCTCACACTCCAGGGCAGATACCCCCAAACTGTACACCATACAAACACATTAACTGCTGCTCTACTTACTTTAGCAGGGGAAATGGAAGTTGCCCAGCTGCCCATCAATACATGAATGAATAATGAAAATCTGGTACACCCTCACATTTTCCAGAATTGGCCAGTTTATGTCCTCAGCTTTAATTCCTGCTGCAACTTCCTCACTTACAAAGCTCTGTTATTACCTACCACCTCCCTGTTCCCTGAGTAACTCTCCCTCCCTCCCTCCCTAGCTTCCTTCTGTCTGTCCATCTCAAGGCCTTTACACAGCTGTTCCTCTTTCTTAGAAGGCTCTCCCATTCATTCTCCCCATAGCATCTTAGGTCCTCAGCTCACAAGGCACCTTCTAGGAGTACCATTTGTCACATGCACAGTCTTCCTCTCCACATCCCAGGATAAAAGACTCACACTACTCTCCTCTCTTCAACCCTTCCCATGCACCACACCAAACCAAGACATTAAAACAGAATAAGCAAGGAGAGGAACTGGAGTTCTGGACTCTGGTGTCCTGGAGGACTGAGAGCAGGAGCAACTGTTTCCTGAAGAACATAGGGAACACCCAGGACAGTCATTTTCCCCAAGAAAACTTTTTGAGACAGAATCTCAGTGGCCTGGAACTCAATGGTTAGGCTAACTGACTGGCCAGCAATTGCTGGCCAGGGATCTGCCTGCCTCCACCTCCCCAGCACTTAGATGAAGGTACACACATCATACCCAGTCTTTTTTACATGGGTTCTGGGGATTGAACTTGGGTTTTCATGCTTTTATCAACAGAGCACCATCTTCCAACTCAAATTCCTCTTTATAGTGGCTGCTTTCCACCATCTCCTTTAAAACTCATTAAAGAGGGCTGGAGAGATGGCTCAGTGGTTAAGAGCACTGGCTGCTCTTCCAGAAGTCCTGAGTTTAATTCCCAGCAACCATATGGTGGCTCACAACCATCTATAGTGGGACCTGATGCCCTCTTCTGGCAGAAAGGCATACATGCAGACAGAGCACTCATATACATAAAATAAATAATTTTTGTTTAAGCTCATTAAAGGAATGGAAGACCCAAGTCTTTGACAGGTTTCTGGGAGCTCTGATTTTAAACTGAGTAACGAAGAGACAGATCTATTAGAGGTCCTCAATGCATGGAGAAATCGCAGCATGATGGCCTGGATTCTGGACTCAGATAGTCTGCTGCCCCTAAGATGCATTTTTTATTTAACTTTATTTTATGTGTATTGGTGTAAGGATGCCAGATGCCCTGGAACTGGAGTTACAGACAGGTGTGAGCTGCCATGTGGGTGCTGGGAATAGAACCCATGTCCTCTGGAAGAGCAGCCAGTGCTCTTAACAACTGAGCCATCTCTCCAGCCCTGAGATACATGCATTCTGAGCAGATGGGGAACTGTCTGCTCATGCTAAGAGGCTCTGTCGCCAGCATGTCCAAATACTCCCTCTGTCCTAGTTTGCCATTCATATTTCAGCTGCTTCCCAGGTTCCAGTGTTTGATTATTTTTATTTCCAGGGTAGAAGATGAGATCTCTCAGCTGGATTTTTGCAATAAATGTCAGAAGGCTTTCTGTGTTAACAGTATAAAGAAACCTGTTTGTTTTGGGCATTGTAACTGGCAGTGCCTGAACACTGAGTAATATTTTGATGTTGATCTCTGAGGACAGTTGGCCTCAGCAATGACCATTCTGTCTGTGCTTGGGGCAGGAGTGATGTTTATAGAGCTCCATCCCGTGCTGAGCACAGGGCCCAGAGCTCACAAAGGGTGATAATCAGGAAGTCCCAATACCATATGGAGTGTCTTCTTGGTGGCAGCCTATCTTTGAAGATGAAGGAATTCAGACAGTGGCAGGAGACAACCCTTCCCTCCTAGAGCTGACATACTAGCAGAGGGAGAATTCCAACAAGCAAGAAAGCCCTTGGTGGGAATGGGAAGACCGTTACCAGAGGCACACAGGGAATGGAGTGGGTTACACCATCTCTGTGCTGAGGCCCAGCCTCTCCATACTGAGTGTTCCAGGGTAAATACACGGCATCTAACATGGTGGCTTCAGGCCACATGTGGTATCAGATATGGGTACTTAGACATCAGAAAAAGGCATGTTGACCTAGGGCTCCAAGATCAGTGTAGACATGACCATGGTCAGAGTGATGATCAGACCACATGAATGCTCAGAAAGAAAGGGGACTGGGCTTGCTTCAACAGTAGCATCTGCTAGACAGGACCAAGAAAAGCAGCTCTGCGCATGAGTGAAGGGGAGCAACAGCCACTGTACACTGCGACTGTGGTGCAGTAATAGGACACCTGCCTAGCAGGCTCTGGATTCTACTCTCAGAAAGGGATGGAGGAGATAGGGAGAAAAACAGGGTGGGAGAAGACACAGAGACCCAGTTGTGAGCCTGGAGTCATGAGCCTGTACCATCTGGGACTCAGCCTGGACTCAAAGGCTGGGCCTGTTCCTCTCGTGTTCCTGTGGCTGTCCCCATGTCCCTCTCTGAGAAAATGGGGTATAACAGGACAGGGATGTGCCTTTCACAGAAGTCCACAGGTACTCCAGGAAACCCACAGTTGTAACAGCTTCAGGACTCTGTGGAGTTCAGGGTCTAGGTCTGTGCTCCCCACTTACCTGAAGGGGATGGAATTTCTTGTTTTTGTTCTGCTCCACCTTCTGGATGGAGGTTTTCTTACACGTGAAGAGGGTGAACTCTCTTCCTGAGAGAGAGAAAAGCTGCTCTGTGGCATCTGGCCACTGCACACGAGCTTGCAGGAACACTAAGACAACCCTCCTAGAAGCACTGACAAGATCCGAACCAGAAACAGAACTGGCCCCAGGCAAGTACAGGCCTCTGCACAAGGAGGCAGAGCTGACAAGCAAATAAAGAATAATGTCTACAAGGTCATATGTGCAGGGCCAGTGCACATGACAACAAAACAGTCACTGCTTCACAGAAAAACTAACAACCTGGAATCCTACAAAACTGAGCCAAGTACCAGGTGCAATGTTCTTTGCTTTTTCAGACAGCATTTCTCTGTGTAGTACTGACTTGACAGGGTCTCTCTACTATTTAACTGTGGCTAGCCTCTAACTCACAAAGATCTGCTTGCCTCTGCCCCCAAGTGCTGGAATTAAAGGTGTGGGCTACCACACCTGGCCTTCTGACTCCTCCTAAATTTGTTTTGTTTGCTTGCTTTTGAAACACTGTCGTACTATCTAGCCCTGGCTGGCCCTGAACTCTGTAGAGACCATGTTGGCCTTTAATTTGCAGTCCTCTTGCCTCAGTTTCCCAAGTGCTAGGATTAGAAATGTGTGCCACAAGGCCTGGCTGGGTTAAGTTTGAAAAGAAAAACCCAGGGCTGGAGAGATGGCTTAGTGGTTAAAGCACATTCTGCTCTTCCAGAGGACCTGGGTCCGATTCTCAGTATCCACAGGTGGCCACAAACAGTTCCTGGGAATCTAACACTCTCCTATGAACTCTGTGGGCACCAAGCACACACATGTGGCACACTGACATATATGCAGGCAAAACACTCAAACAATTTAATAGAAAAATATTTAAATCAACAAAAGTAGAAGAAAATCTAGGGCTGGGGTGTTGCAGGATTAGACTTCAGGGTTAGCATGTGCTAAGGCTCTGGGTTTGACCCCTGAAACCACCAAAAACTAAGGAAAACTATAAATACGACAAGTTGTTAAATTTTTGATGCATCAAAACAAAACATATTGAGCATAGCTAATCACTGGAGGCAGGAATAAAGACAATTTAAGGATTGGTGTTTTTCATTTTTTTCTCTCCACTTAGAAAAAAGCCCCTGATGTACAGAGCGTGTAAAGAGTAGGGTTTTTTCACCCGCCGCCTGGTCTTGTCCCACCACCACGCCAGCCCCAATTAACACACTGAGACTCTGTATTAGATATAATGCTGTTGGCCAGGTACTAGTTTCTTATCGGCTAGCTTTGTCTTAATTATTAACCCATTCCTATTAATCTATGTATTTCCACGTGGTCTCTCATCTTACCGAGAGCCGGCGTCCTGCTCTCTCCAGACTCTCCATGTTGACTCCTCCTTCCTACTTCCTCTTTCCTCCTTGTCTCCTAGTCCCTCCTATCTTCCTTTCCTATTGGCCAACAGTGCTTTATTCATTAACCAGTATGAGAAACATATTTACAGAATGACATCTCCCATCAAGAGTGAGTCCCAGGTTAGCGAGGGATACACAGATAAACCTTGTCTGTGCCTGCTAGCTGAGGACAGCATGCCTGTTTGCTTAGGATGGTGGCAGAGGCAGGGTCTGGTTCTGGAAAAGGGGGAGGCTGTTACAATTTTCAGACCGACGCTGCAGCCTGCTCTCTGAAAAGGGGTGCAGCCAGGCTCTTCCTTGGAACCCAACATGAGGCTTCAGCTTCACTGTGGCTGCAGGTGGGGGGCCTTGCTGAGCTGTGAGTCCAATCAACTTAACCATAGCCTTTACACCACTGGGTTTCCCTCTACCTGCTTGAAACATTTACTTTCAAATCTCAGTATGGATGCTCTGCCCTGCCGGTGTCAGGGCTGTCCTGGCACTGCTCCATGTAGGCTCTGTACCCTGCCACCACCCAAAGGCAGTGCAATCCACATGTTGTGGCTGAAGTGCCTCCCATTGCCCCTGGATAGGGGGGAGAAACAAGGCTCACAAGCCCAGTGATACTCTCAGCCCAGTGGCTGGCTCACAGAGCTCTTGACATGATGTGATGTAACTGTCATAGACTCTTCAACTTGCCACTAATGTGAAGTATCAATGCCAATGAACTGTAGTTAGAGTACTCCCAGTATGGTGGACATGTGGGAAGTAGAATTTTCTGTTCTGTAGTAGACCAGGCTGGTTTCAAACTCCAGAAAAACCTCCTGTCTCAGCCTTCTAAGGGCTTATACTAGAGGTGTGTGCCACCAAGACATGTCTATGACATGACATGTTGAAAGAAATAAAAAATGTGGTATTGTGAAAATTACTCCTCTGACCATCAGTGTCCTCATCTGTGATGTACAAGATGTTCACTTGGTTGTCATGGGGATGAAACAAGACACAGAGGTTCCAGCAGGTCCCAGGTACCAGTAAACTCCTAGATTCCTATTAACTAGCTTTCCATTCTATAGTACACCATACAGATTGGATAAATTTAGAACACGCAGATCTCATAGATGGTTCTAGAACACACAGACTAGATAGAATATAAACACGCAGGCCTCATAGACAATATAATATTAGAACATGCAGCCCGTTTTAGGGTTTCTATTACTGTGAAGGGACACCATAACCATGGCAACCCTTATAAAGGAAAACATTTAATTGGGGCTGGCTTACAGTTTCAGAGCTTTAGTCCATTACCATCATGACAGGGCATGGCAGCATTCAGGCAGATATGGCACTGGGAAAGGAACTGAGAGTTCTATATCTTGATCCACAGGCTTACATGAACTGTCTTACTGGGTGCAGCTTGAGCATAGGAGACCTCAAAGTCCAGCCCCACAGTGACTCACCCCAACAAGGCCACACCTACCCTAACAAGGCCATACCTCCTAATAGTGGCATTCTCTTTGGGGGCCATTTTCTTTCAAACCACCACACAGACTGAACAGAGTATAAAACACACAGGCCTCATAGATGATACTAAAACATACACACTGGATAGAGTATGGAACACGCAGGCCTCATAGATGATACTAGACTATACAGACTAGGTACAGTATAGAAAACAAGGTTTCATACATGATAATAAAACACACAGACCTGATACAGTATAGGAGAATAGACAGACAAGAGGGTAGATTTGCTTGTTTGCTTATAGCTGTACGGATAAAACTCATGGTCTTCTATCTACTAGGCAATTCCTGTGCCAGAACTGGGTGTTCCCAGCCTTTATACCAAATGTAAAATTCTACTCCCCATATTCATAAACAATGGTATTTTATTCATTTGATGGCCAGTTTGGAAGTCTATGAGCAAGAACATGGTGGGAACATCAATGCCCTGGTACTCTGCCTCAGTTATATGGTAGCTGTGTTGTGTAAGGGGGCAGAAGAGATAGCCAAAGCAGGGAACTTACCCCTTATAAGTCGACTGCTCTGCAACATTAATTCTTCTCTCCGGAATCTCTCTGGATCCAGTTCTGAGTAGTCCCAACTGTCATAGCTCTGTGGGCAAGGATATGTCCCTAAAAGAAGCCAAAAGAATGAGCAGGACAAAGGGAAGCAGAGGCCTTGAGCCTTTTACTGGTTACAAGGAACCAGGGATCTACTACCAGTATTATCCTGGCCTTGTCACTTCCTCTCTAGAGGGTTTCTTCACCTAAAGAATGGGGACAATGCTACTTGCCCTGCCATCTTCTGGTGCCTGGGTTTGTGACTCCATGACAAATGCTAATGAAGATGTTGCAGTTGCCCAGTGTCCTACCTGCCTCCCATTGTTCATGCTGGACAATGAGTGCCCTTCCCCAGGGCAGGGCTAGGGCAGACATGACTGTTCCCAAGGCCTCCTGCTGGATCTGGCAACAGTAAAAAGGGCTCAGCAAAGGTTTCTTCAACAGGCTCTCAGCCTAAGTTTAGCACCAGAAATGATGCTTACAAGGGTCACTGTGTGATGCTTCTGCTTTCATTGGCAATAGGAGTACACAGGAGGTTTGTTTCTGGAGATTAGCTAGGCAAAATCAGGACCAGAGAAAAGGAGCAACAGGAAGAAAGTGGGAAAATGACAGGTTGCCACAGTGACCCAAGACCTAGCTTTGAAGGGGAAGAATCCTGGGTCTAAAACATGACACTCAGTTGTTTGCACTTGAACCTCTTTAACCCTTCATGTTCAGAGGGATAAAAAGGTGTGTGGTGAAGAGCTCACATAGCAGGCCCAAGGCTGCTGGCCTTGGCTGGGGTCTGGGAACACAGCTGGAAAATAGTTCCTAACACTGACACAAAACCACTTTTAATGAGTGAGTTATTGTTCCTTGGCTGTCAGTATACAGTGTGGCTTAGTTAAATGTCAGCTTTCCAGAACTGAGATATCAGATAGACAGAGGTGTCTCCATGATGAGCCTGAATGGAACCCTTGGCCACTGCATCTCTGCTATGCTTCTGGGCAGAGACATTACATCTCCCTGGCAGGCAGATAAGTGGGCTGTGTGACTCCTTGTTACATGGGCACTAGGCAGCCTGCACAGGGATCCTCTAAAGTGTGCCCCTCCTCCTCTATGATCCAGCCATATTTCCTACTGGCCACTATAAGGATTAGCCATGGTGACAAAGCTCATGAGGAAGAGACCTTGTTACCATCTTGCTCCTGACATAAACTGTCAAAGTTACCTATTTCTCACAATATCTAGCCAACAAAATCCTCACAACAAACAGCATCATTCAGTGATCTCAAGGTTCTAGGCCAAGACAGGGAAGTCAGGGAAAGGAATAAAGATATCTGGGAAAGCCAATGAGGAGGTGTCTTGGTATGTGCTGAAGTGGGCTATAGTGGCCACATGGGTCATTCTGCTCTGGGGTCCATGGCACGTGGATAACTAATGGCTGAACGGGCACTTGCTGCCTTCCTTCTCTAGTTGGTAGGAACCTGCTACCCTCTCACCTGAGATCCACAGGTCCATGGTGTTACAAATTTCTGACTTGAATTCATGGGTGTTGAACCAAGACTGGGGGAAGCAGCAACAGAAGCTAGTGTATAGGGCTTTGCTCAGAAGCGACGGGAGCTTCTGGGAGGAAGCAGAGCTCAGCATTAGTCCCTGCCCTCAGAAAAGACACCTAGCTGAGCCAAGAATCTGGGACCAAATTCCTTCCCAACATCAGGCTACCCTCCTTTCCTCCTTGGGCTGCCTCCCCATCTCCGGGTGTCATTGAGGATGCCCCTCAGGAACCAGGTTCTGCTCAGTCAGCAACTTCCTCCTTCCCCCCGCAAGCCTCCAGTGTTCTACCGCCCATTGCTTCTGTACTTTGCCCAAAGCATAGCCAAGGAAACAGCAAGATACAGAGATATATACACCAACATATACATGCATTTCCCTATGACTATCTCCCCCAAGTGGGATCAATTTAGCTTTGTTTGAGACAAGGTCTCACTACGCAGCCTAAGAACTTAGGGAAATCCTCTCTCACCCTCCAGAATGCTGGAATTACAGATGTGAACCACTACACAAAGGGTCTTCTCCTCTCCTCCCTTCTCTGTGTGATGCTGAGTCTGAACTTAGGACCTCACATCTGTTTCTGGGATATACCCCCAGCTCCAAGGGTATTCAATTATTATTTTCATTTCTGTTTTGTTTTGTAACTAAATTTTTTCTCCTATCCATATTTCTTCCTTGGTGAGTTTCTCATTTATGTACTTTATCCATGGATCTATGAGATATCTCATTTTTAAAAATTTGTTTTAGACTTGAGTGTTTTGCATATATGCTAGGGGCCTGCAGAGGTCAGGAAAATATATAGAATCCCCTGGGACGGGTAGTTAAAGATGATTGTAAGCTACCATATGGGTTCTGGGAAACTAACCCATGTCTTTTGTAAGAACAAGAACTGTTAATTGCTGAGCCATCTCTCCAGCCCCAAGATGTCAAATCATTTTTAAGAATTCTTTGTTATGTAACATAAATGCCACAAGGAGCTGGAGAATGGCTCACTGATTAAGAGTATTAGCTGCTCTTGCACAAGATCCAGTTTCAACTGACAAAACCCAGAAGGCAACTCACAGCCATCTACAACTTTAGTTCTAGAAGATCCAGTGCCTTCTTCCAACCTCCATAGATACCAAGCATGAACATGGTGCACAGACATACATGTGGGCAAAACACTCATCACATTAAAAAAAAAAAAAAAATCTAATAAAAATGCCACCAGTGCCGGGTGTTGGTGGCACATGCCTTTAGTCCCAGCACTAGGGAGGCAGAGGCAGGCGGATCTCTGTGAGTTCCAGACCAGCCTGGTCTACAAGAGCTAGTTGCAGGATAGCCTCCAAAGCTACACAGAAAGACCCTATCTTGAAAAACAAAAAACAAAAAAACAAAAACAAACAAAAAAAATGCCAGCAGCATTTTTGTATAGTTTGTTGTTTACATCTTAATTTTCTGTGTAGTAAAAAACTATATAGTTAATGGATAGGAGTAGTTACACAGGCTTGTAATCCTATCACTTGGAGAATGAGGCAGGAGGATGAGGAATTTGAGGCTAGTCAAGACTACATAGTCAGTTTGAAGCTAGACTGAAGACCTTGTCTTACAAAAAAAAATTATATATATATATTTGTGTGTGTATACATATATGTGTGTATGTGTGTACATATATATATATATATATGTACACACATACACATATGGTGTGGCTACATAATTCAATCTATCAGTCTTTGCTTTATGGCTACTTCTCATGGGTCATGTTACATTGTCCTTCCTCACCTGCAAATTTTTAAATTTGGCCACATTTTCTTCCAACAATCTCTTTAGTTCTTATATACATACATACAAAAGGTACACATGTGTTTACACTTCTTGTTCTAACTTACAAGCTTGTTTAAATACTACAGAAACATGAAACAGAATAGCAAAGAGCATGGAAGAATGGTGGAGCAGTTAAAAGCACTGGCTGCTCTTCCAGAGGACCCAAGTTCAATTGCCAGCACCCATGTGGCAGCTCACAGACAGCTGTAACTCCAGTTCCAGGGGATTCAAAGCCTCTTCTGACCTTTGCTGGCACTATGTACACATGGTACATATAGATACATAGGTAAAACATCCACACACATAAAATAAAAAGGTTTTAATTCTTAAAAACAAAAAACATAGAAAAGTGAAATCTCTTAGTATCTTGCTCCTTAGAGATAACCACTGCTAAGAACTTGGCAAATATTTTCCAGATTTTTTTCTATTCTTGGGCATGATTGTGTGTGCATATATACACAGAGTTGTATTATCACCTAATGGTGAGAATACATTGAAAACTGCATCAATAAGTGATTTCATCATTGTGTAAACATGACAGACTGTACTTACTAAACTTACTATAATGGCTTGACACACATGCATATACATATATACATACATGTATATATATATACATATATGTGTGTGTGTGTGTGTGTGTGTGTGTGTGTGTGTGTGTGTGTATGTGTGTGTCACATAATCTCATGGGACCACTGACTGAGATGTGATCTATCATGAACGGAATTATTTTTTTTTTTTCGAGACAGAGTTTCTATGTAGCTTTGGGAGCTATTCTGGAACTCACTCAGTAGACCAGGTAGGCCTCAAACACACAGAGATCCACCTGTCTCTGCCACCTAAGTGCTGGGATTGAAGGTGTGTGCCACCATCACCTGGGTTGAATTGTTTGTTATAACATGTGAATAACTTGCTTTTTCCTGACTCAGAACATATTGTTGCATCTTTCCCAGTGACTGTAGGACTCAGTCATACTTTTTGCAATGGCTAAATTATAAGCTAGGGTGCTGGTACTTTTACTCCCTTATGGAAAGCCTGTTTGGGGAATTCTCTTGCCATCAAAGGTGTTTTCTAAGAGGCAGGTGACACTCACTTTTATGAGTGCCTCTTCATAGTGGGACCGCACTGTTTTGAACAACAGGCAGGCATAATTTCGGGCTATTCGGTCGAACAGCTTGCTCTGGATCTCCTTGTTTGGCTGCCAGGTGAGAGAAGGGCACAGAATTACTAGCATGCTTGCTGCAGCTACCAATGGGACACCATGCTGTTTTGTGTTTTGCTTGTTTTATCAGACATGGCTTCACCAGGTGAACCCAGGCTGGCCTTGAGTATGTACCATCACATCTGGCATGGGTCTGCAATTCAGGCAAAGCATTGCTCTCAAGTCAGAAATTTTACTCTCTAGATCATTGGTTCTCAACCTAATGCTGCAACCCTTTAATACAGTTCCTCTTGTGGTGACCCTCAACCATAATCTTATTTTCATTGTAATTTTGCTACTGTTCTGAATTATATTGTAAATATCTGATATGCAACCCCTATGAAAGGTCATTTGACCCCTTAAAGGGGTCAGGGTTGAGAACCACTGATCTAGAGAGTTAATTTCATATGCTTTGAAGAATGAGCTGCTTGTCTGCTGCCCACATTTATGAAGCACATATGACATGTAAGTGAAGGAAAACCCCCAAGTCTGGGCTAGGAGGTCCCAAGTTCTCCTCTCACCCCTGTCCTGGACCCACTACTTAGCAGAAACTGTCTGCTCAAGCTCAGGGGAGCTGTATGGCATTGGGTAACAGCTAAAGCTCTGGTACATGTGTGGGGGCCTGAGTAGGGAGGCGACAGGTTGAGTCTGCAAAGGTGACTCATGGGAACAGAGGACTTGTTGCTCACACTAAAGACAGGACTTGGTTTCTCAGTTTTCCATAGGAAAGCAAGGCAAGTGAGGGAGGAGGCACAGATTCACATTTACCTTGTACCGTTCATGAAATATCCACCAAAAGCTGTCCAGCCAGATGGCACTGAGGGAGGGAGAAGACAGAAACTTCTCTAATTCTCTATCTGAACAGTAAGACTTGAAAAGAAATGAAATTGGCATTAGTATTGTGGTTGTTGTTGTTATTACTGCTATTGTTGCTCAAGGTAAAGTCTTACTATGTCACCCATGCCTGGAGCTTGTGATTCTCCTGCCTCAGCCTCCTGAGGGCTAAATCCCTAGCAATGAAAACAAACTGAAAAGGCCCCTAACCTTTCAGGGAGTCTGATTGATTTTCATGGCTCTATGCTAAGTGACATTACATTTTCTCTTAAGCTGGCTGGAATCTTTGAGCACACATTATTGTCACACACTAGGAAACTGAGGACTTCAGAGTTCAAAGGACTTACCCAAACTAATGTGGCCAGCAAGTGGCAGAGCCTGTACTAGGAACCTACAACTTTAGATGAAGGCACCCAGGTACCCCTCCCTATCACCTCTGGACAGCAACAGTTGCAAACGTATGAGCAGTCACAAGATTCTACTAAATCAGTAATAAGTATATATAAGTCCAAATTAAAACAATTACTCACAAACTCAGAAGAACAGAAAATTTTAGCTTGTTCTGTCCCCATCATTTAATATATATTACTGAATGATGCCTGCGTGTCTGCTACTGGATCATACACCTTCATTCTTCATTTCACTCATCTGGGACTGACTCAGGAACAGGGGAAGGAAGAGGAAGAAAAGAGGAGGAAAAGAAAAGAAGAGAAGAAGAGAGACAAATAGGGACAGGGAGATGGCTGAGGGGGAGGGGGAGGTGCAGCAGTGAGTACAGCTGCCCTGTGAATTCCAGGAATGAAGGGCTGACTACTTAAGAGCTAATGAATGGGTCAGTGACCAACCACCAGAGCTATTTAGGGGACAGAGATTACGCAACCATAAAAGATGAAGAGACCTAGCCAAGAGCACTCTGAGCATCTTCCCTCTGCAGACCTCCACATAGTTGTTACCTACCTCTGGCATGGACTCACATATGCATAGCATCTTTGGGCATTGTCACTCTTCCCTCCAAAGCTCTATGCATGCTCTCAAGGTGCTTATCCTAATCCTAGTTCCAGTCTACAGCTCTGCCCTGTTTCCTATCTATTGCCATGTAAACAAGCAGTCACCACTTCCCACTACCAAAGACAGGGACAGATCCATTTGGCCTTGCCATGCCACTATGATATACTAAAATTTTCTCTGGAATCAGGAATTCTCAGAGATAGAAATAAATAAATAAAGCTTTCTTTCCACCAGGTGGTAGTGGCTCACAGCTATAATCCCAGCACTCAAGAGATAGAGGCAGGCAGTTCTCTGTGAGTTTGAGGCCAGCCTGGTCTACAGAGCTTGTTCCAGGACAACCAGAGCTGTTACACAGAGAAACCTTGTCTCGAAAAACAAACAAACAAACAAAAAACAAAAATGCCTTTCTTTCCTTAAGTTGTCTCCATTAGGTATTTTGTCACAATAATGAGAAAAGCAACTGATACAATCCCCATCATGTCATCAGATTTCAGCATACTGATGATGAAGGCAGAGCTCTCTGAACGAATCACTCCCCCAAAGCTACTACTTCTGAACATAATATTTGAGAACAAGACTTTAGCATATGAGCCTTATTGGGAGATACTTCATATCCATACCATAATTGTTCTGACTGGAAAGTAATAGAAGTCAGCCTTAGTGATGTGTCACAGAGCAGCCAGCAGACAGAGTAGCGGATAGCCCACAGACACGTATCTAAGAAGACACCTACTACAGCTGTTTTTTAGTAGAACACTTGATCAAAACATACCACAAGGATTGGCAACACAGCTCAGCAGATAAAAGTTCTGTTGTCAATACTGATGACTGGGTTCCATCCCTCATACAGAGTGTCCTCTGACCTCGACACCCATGGGTGCACAGCTAGGGTAGAGCTGGTCCCCTGCTCTCTTCCTTACCTTGCCACTAAGAGGGTTTTTCTCAGACCGGATCACATTGCCCACCATGTCACAGAAGTCCACACCATTGGGAAGCTTGTTGGGTCTAGTTTCATCAAACTGTGGGTGTTGGTGTAGCTCTGCCAGCAGATTCTTATCTGCTGTTTTCTGAAGAAAAAAAAAATGCATACAATGAAAACAGGGTCCATCATCTTGACAGTTTAAAACAATAACACACCTTCCCCTTCTACACAGATAGTGCCACAGACAGGGAGCAGATGAGGGCTTCCTGAGCCTGGCACCACTCCCCAGACCTGTTTATATCAGTTGTTTTCTGTGAAGGCTTTGAGCAGAGATTTCCAAATACATTTACGTTATTTTAATCTCCCTGTCTCCCACCTATCTCTCCAACACACACACTTTTATGTCCTACTTTAGCTACCTAACTTACTCTAGATTACTCCAGGGTGTGTATACATGCATATGTGTGTATACATGCATATGTGTGTGTGTGTGTGTGTGTGTGTGTGTGTGAATACCATTCTCAAAATTACCATTTAAGCCGCTACAGTTTAATTGACTTGGCCCTGATTACTTTCAATAAATATTACTTTCATTAATACCTTAAAGCATATAGTCCCCCTCCCCTTTGGGTCATTTATTTGGCATGATTTTTGAGACAGAGTTTCTCTGTGTAGCCCTGGCTGTCATCACACTCAGAGATCCGCCTGCCTCTGCCTCCCAAGTGCTGGGATTAAAGGCTCTCAAAACCATAGCCCAGCTACATGATTTTCTTAAAAAAGTAATATTGTATCAAAGGATGTAACTGTCTCAATATATGGCATTACTTAATATGTATCATTAAATTAATTTGTATAGCCAAACTCAAACATGACAGCTGATAAAAAAATAAATAAATAAAGGAAAATGCAGGAAAGTGGAATAAGGGTTCCAATTATCATCACCCCACTGCACCTACTGGCTACACTGTGGTGATCTAGTAGTTTACTTTTTCTAAGCTGGTTGTGGGAGGGGACAGTGAGAGAGTGGCTTTCTGAATGACTGTGCTGATCCTTAATCAGAGGACACGCTGCCATTTACTCAATGTGCCACCTCAGGCAGGACATTTATACCTACTCAGGCGCCATCAATGGCATGTAAGGCAATTTCATGACAGACTCAACCACAGGCTTCATGCTGTTTTAGAATTTACTAAGTTAAAAGTTACAAAAAGATAATGGAAATAGAAGCAATCGAGATGGGTTCCCAAGTAAAGATTCCAGCTGCCAAGTCTGATGGCCTGAGTTCAAGCCCAGGAACTCACAAGGCAGAACAGAGAACTGACTTTTACAAGTTGTCTGCAGGTCCCCACATGTGTGCCATGACATGGGCACCCCCCCACATACACACATGCACACACACAAAAAAGATAATGCATTGTTTCCTAAGGTTTTGCGTATAGGTGACCTGGATAGTTTAAGTAACCATCTTTGGGGGTTCTTTTTGAAATTAAAAAAATATTGTAATTGCATGCCAGAGAAGCACTCTATGCCTGAGCCACAACCCAAGCCTGAGGTAGTAAGTCTCGACAACAATAGCTGTAGATGGGACTTGCTCGCAATAGATGGGAGCTGGCCTTGAGTCGAAGAACTGAGTGGAAGGCTGCACCTTTCCTGTGACATGATGCATGACAATGCACCATCATCTTGGCTTCCTGGCATGTCTTCAGTGATTACCATAACCAGGTTGGCTGGTGAGTAGAGTGGTGACATTGGACCCTCCTGTGTAGAAGGCACATGGAGTTGTATGGCACCATCGTGGTGAAACTGGAGTGACATGAGCAATTCTAAAATTATTGCCAGATCTTTGAAAAAGCAAACCCCAAACTTTCTCTGTGACTCACTATTTAGGTACCAAGTCTTCCTTCCCAAGGGATAAAACCCATTTTGTGCATGGTAGAAACCACCGGGAAAGCAACCTGGTGCTAGGCTCTTACCCGTTTTGTCAGGATCAACTTGGCATTCCGGAGCTCTGAGCCTTTGCATGATATTGGTGACTCTTCCTTTGTTCGCTTGACTGAGAATGGAGAAGTTAGATGTAAGGGACGGTGGATGTACTTGCTACTGGGAGCTAAGACTGCTGGAGAGTGCTGCCTGGTGACAGGCAGACTGCTAAGTCCTGGCCTATCTATTTAGAAGCAGCGGGGAAGACAAGACAAATTCCTCTCCCCAGCAGGACTCTCCTGGGTCAAATATATCTGATGACACCACCAGGTGGGGCTTTGTGAAGGGACAGGAATCAAAGCATCTGATGTGACATGCTACCTAGTAGATATCCCAGTGAGATCCTGTCCTTTCCTCTTTCCTTGCCCAGTGTAAAGTTTGATAGACGGTTACTACAGAAGGACAAAAACTATCCTCAGGCAGAACTCTGGATTCCCACTCAACTGCATTTCAACGATTAAAAAAAAAAAAAAAAATCACTGGGGTCCACGTCAGTGGCAGAGCATATACTTGGTGTGTGCAAAGACTCTGGGATCCATGCCTAGCACCACCAAACAAAGACACTAAAAAGAATCTAAAAGTTTAAAAAAAAAAAATCAAACCCCACAAAAACACTTTTCAGCTGAGAAAAGATTTTTTTGCCTCTGTCTCCCAGGCTGCCGTGAGTTTTCTCTTTTAAAGACATCTTCTCCAACTCATATTCCTCAATTGCCTTCAAAAACCAAAAGAAGAAGAAATAGGGCATTAGAGACTGATGCAAATCCAGGGAAGGGGTCAGGGGTCAGGGATTGGAGCTTTTTCCTTACTGGCAAGTACCAAGTATCTCCTCTCTTCCCCCCTAAAGCTCAGGGCTTTAGACAACTTGTTGATTTTAGAGGACCTAGGTTCAATCCCCAGCAACCACATGGAGACTCACAACCATCCATAATTCTAGTTCTAGGGAATACAATTTATTTTTCTGGCTTCTGATGGCACCAGACATACATGGCATACATTCATACATGCAGGCAAATAGTCATACATATAAAATAAAATAAATTTAAAATAAGGAAGCCAGACAGTAAGACAGGCAGTTGAGTGAGCCATGAAGAGCAGGTCAGTAAACAGTTCCTGTTCCTGCCTCCAGGTTCTTGCCTCCAGGTTCCTGCCTTGAGTGCCTGCCTTGGCTTCCCTCAGTGATGGACTAAAAGAGGAAATAAATCCTTTCTCCACCAAGTTGCTTTTGGTAAGTGTTGTATCACAGCAACAAGAAGCAAACTAGATCAAACCCTAAAGCATATGCACACAGAAATGCTCAAATGTTCACTATGGTCAAATGCCAGAGAGGGGCTGGAGAGATGGCTAAGCAGTTAAGAGCTCTTCCAGAAGACTGGGTTAAGTCCCAACATCCACATAGCAGCTCAAAGCTGCCTGTAACTTCTGCTCCAGGAAGTCAAAGTCCTCTTCTGGCCTCCTTGGACACCTGCACATACATGGCACACAAACACACACACACACACACACACACACACACACACACACACTTTTAAGATACCATGGAGATATTTGTCATTAGAGGATAAATTAATTATGCTACATCCAACTTTTGAAATACTATGAGGCTACTAAAATCATGGATAGGCCAATAGTACTGACTAAAAAAGTCCCTAAGAGAGGTATTTATTCTAAAACTAAATAAATCAATAAACTAATTAATAAAAAGACAGGTAGTAAGAGAGTGTGGTAGAATATTATTTTAAGGTGTGTTACATTTATTTATGCTGCATTTGTTTAACTCTGTGAAGCGGTGATTCTCTGCCTATCTAAAACACCTGATGGTCTAATAAAGAGTTGAACAGTTAATAGTGAGGCAGGAGAAAGGATAGGTGGGGCTGGTAGGCAGAGAGAATAAATAGAAGCAGAAATAAGGAGACAGAGAAGCAGAGAACAAGGGGAAGATTTCAGGGGCTAGCCACTCAGCCACAGAGCCAGCCACAGAATAAGGAAAGTAAGACTTACAGAAGACAGAGATAAAAGCCCCGAGGAAAAGGTAGTTGAGATAATTTAAGATAAGAAAAGTTGGCTAGAAACAATCCAAGCTTGGGGGGAAAATGGGGTGCTTTAGTTGTTTAAAAGAAAGAAAGGAAGAAAGAAGAGAAAGAAACAAGCCAAGCTAAGGCTGGGCATTCATAAGACTAAGCCTCCATGTGTGATTTATTTGGGGCCCCGTGGGCCCCCTAAAACAATCAAGAGCCAAAACAATATGCAAGAGAGTATTTACAGCATGATCCTGCTTATAGATATATTTTTAACAGACAGAGAAAATAATAACCCAAAGGAATTTAGTACCTGTGAAGAATCCATGACATGGGAAGAGCAATAACTACCTCTAGGGAGGAAAGTTGGCAAGAAGAGAGTGACTTTCTACTTATCGACAGTCTGAATATTATGGAACAGCATACAGTCAGTCTGAATATTATAGAACAGCATATATTACTTGGTTACTTAAAAAAATTTAAATATAAGTCAGGTGTGTTGATAAACCCCTTTAATCCCAGCATTATGTAGGCAGAGAAAAAGGGTTCTCTGTGAGTTGGAGGTCAGCCTAGTCTACATAGTAAGTTCTGGTTCAACAGCTACATGGTTAGACTCTCTCTCTTTCCCTCTCCCTCTCCCTCCTGTTTTGGTTTTTTTTGAGACAGTGTTTCTCTGTGTTGCCCTGACTGTCCTGAAACTTGCTCTGTAGACCAGGCTGTCCTCGAACTCATGTAGAGCCACCTGCCTCTGCCTCCCAAGCACTGGGTTTCCTAGCAATGAGACCCTATCTCAAAGAAAAAAAATTTTAAAAAGACATTAAATGTAACAAGAAGAGTGACACAGGGGCTGAAGTGCTCAGAAGTTGATATTGGAAAAGTTGGGGTGAGCAGAGAGAAAAAATCTGGAAGCAAATCATGAGATCAGGACCTGAGGATGAGAGGCACTTGGCAAAAAACTAGATACTGTGGTAGTAAGGGTGAGAAAGTGAAGGGAAATGACAGGTCAGACCTTTAAAAAAGCAAAGGGCAGTGACGGGCAGGAAAGGAGAAGAAAGGAGGGAGAGAGAGAAAGGAGAGAGGAGGAGGAGGAAGAAGAGAATGAAAGAGGGAAGAAGAAAGAGAAGAGAGGAGGAAGAGGCAGCTACCACCACGAGGAAAACACTGTGGGCCATAAACTCTCAGGGAAACTTTCCTCCAGAACCACAGAGAACCCTAGAGAACTGTACTTCCAACAGAGGGCAAGGGCCATCTAGTCTGAGTCCCTCTCATTAGATCTGGTGACCTATGTCCCTTAAGAAAGGTACACACATATTTAATCCCAGCACTTGGGAGGCAGAGGCAGGTGGACCTCAGTGAGTTCAAGGCCAGCCTGGTCTATGGAGTGAGTTCCAAGAAAGCCTGCCATGATAAAACGAAACAAAACTAAATGAAACAGACAAATATAAAATGTGCATGAATCCTGGGGACTAACTGGGACAGTGGCCACCTGAAGAGCCCTACAGTGACCAGGGGTCACAGAAACCAAGTCAAGATGTGCCACCATTCTAATGCAAAACTCTAAAACCATAGAGGATAAGGTCAGAGCTCCCAAATGACTCAGGGATTAACAATGACTTTTTAGACATGACACCAAAGGCCAGAGATAAAGTGGAAAGTCATTAACATTTTTATCATCTGTTCTTCCAAAGACACTGTCAAAACAATCTACAGAATGGGGTAAAATATTTGCAAAAGGTATGCCCAATAAAAGATTTATTCAAATATAAAAAAAAGAGAACTGATACCCCAAGTTTTAAAAATGGGCCTATGACCTAAGAGACACCTCACGTCTTAGTTGTCCTGTTCCCCCAATCCCCAATGCTGTTGTAAAATAATCTACAAAAGCAATTTAAGAGGGAAAAAGTCTGTTTCAGCTCATAGCTCAGGAAGCTTGCCCAGCACGACAGAGAACTCCAGGCAGGTGCTCTGAGCAACACAGTCACATTGTATCCCATTGAAAAGCAGAGCACGTTGACTATATGTTAAGTTCCTCTTCTCCACTGACAGTCCAGGAGCCCAGCATATGAGTGCCATCCACAGAGGGCAGGGTGTCCCACCTCAATTACATTATCAAGACACCTTACCACAGGCACCAAAGAGGCCAATCTCCTGGTGAGTCTCTGCACTATCAAGTTGACAACACTGAGAGCCCCATTCTCATTAAAGGACAGAAAGCTGGGTGGTAGTAGCACATGCCTTTAATCCCAGCACTTGGAGGCAGAGGCAGTGAGTTCAAGGCCAGCCTGGTCTACAGAGTGAGTTCCAGAACAGTCTCCAAAGCTACACAGAGAAACCTTGTCTTGAAAAGCAGAAGAAGCAGGCAAAGGAGAAGGAAGAGAAAAATGAGGAAGAGGAGATAAAGAGATGGTGAACAGGCGTAGGTGGCACAGGCATTTAATCCCAGCACTCAGGAGGCAGAGGCAGGAGGATTTCTGTGAGTTCAAGTCCATCCTGGTCTACAGAGAGAGTTCCAGGACAACCTCCAAAGCTACACAGAGAAACTCTGTCTCAAAAACGAGGGGGGGGTGAATAAGCAATAAAAATATGCCACATATCCTGTGTTGTCATATCAGTATATGAAACCCTACACACACCTAACAGAACAGCCAAGTTCAGAACCCTGATACCACCAGGTGCAGTGAAGATTCAGAGCACAGGAACCCCAGACTGGAAAGACAACACCTTGGAAGTAGATTTGACACTGTGTTCTTTGGTATTTACCCAAAAGTCTGAACTCACAGTGACAAAAATAAAGTTTACACAGGGGTGTCCAGCTTTATTCTTAGTTGCCAAAGCCTAAGAGTGGCCTACATGACAAAGGAGGAGAGTAGGTCAGTCCGTCCACATAATGGGAGTATTAACCAATGCTATAAAGGAATGGGCTATCCATGGAAACCCAAGGAAGTACCTTGTGAAGAAGATACACTACATGAGTTCAATGTCATGGAATTCTTTAGGGATGACAGTACACAGGTTGTGAGCAAGTCAGTGGCAGCCAGAGGTGAGAGAGAAAGGAGAGTCAAAGGGCAGTGTGCAGTAGCTGGGGAGTGAAGCTATTCTGTACTGCACTGCAAAGGCAGATAAACACCATTAAGCATCATCCACACTTAGCATGTACATCAGAAGGGAAGGAAGCCTAATTAAACAAGGGTGGTCAGCAGTGATGCTCGGTCAAGGTGAGTTTGTTGATTGTAACTGAGGTATGGAGAGGTTGATGGGGCAGGTTATACATGTGTCGGGGTGGGGCATATGGTATATATTTCACTGTATATTTAAAACTGTTATTAAGAAGAAGCCTGCTGGAACAGGAGAGATAACTCAGTAGTTAAGAGCACTTGCTGTTATTTCAGAAGACCTGCGTCTGGTACCCATCATCCACATTGACTCAGAACCCCAGCTCCAGGGGATCCAATGCCATTTTATGGCCTCCAAAAGCACCCACACACATGTGGCATACAAACACACATACACACATTTTCTTTAAAGTCTGCTAACTTCTAAAAAGTGAACTTTGAAACCTCAATTGTACAAATGTTTTTGGAGAGGTGCAGGACCTGAAGGGCAATACCCGTTGTTCCCAAAGGCCTTGCCTCAGTTCCAGCATCTGCTTCAACTCACCAAGGTGCTGGTCAACAGGCTGGGACCCAGGTCTATTTCAGTAATCTTCTGGTTCACCTGGCTCATGGAGCCAACAATGCATGCTGGGAGGCAAGCTGCTAAGGAAACTCCAGGAGGCTCACACACAGCAGAAGGGTCTCTTTGGCCAGAAAGGTGGTCCAGGCTGCACCATCTCCCTACAGATTCATTTCCTCTGCCAATATTCATGACTTGGTCATGTTTAAATGAATCACTTTTATAAATGAAAACCAATGGACTGGTATGAATACTCACCTGTAATTCCAGCACTCAGGAGGCTGAGGCAGGAGGACTGCCATGAGTTTGAGGTCAGCCTGGGCTTCATAGTGATCTCTGGACTAGCCAAGGCTATAGTGTATATCCTGTCTAAAAGAAAAAGAAAAAGGTAAGCAAACAAACAAAAACAAGAAAGAGGAGGAAAATAAGTTTCCTGTGTTGTAGCCACCCTGGAAACAGATGTCTACACTGCCTCCAGCCTCCCTGTTAGTCTTGAGAGCATTCCTTTTGGGTTTTTGTTTATTTCAGTTTTTGATAAGGGAAGACAGGATGTCTATGTAGTGATCCTCTTGCCTCAGGCAGTGTGCCCCTGCACTGTGTTTCATGCAAGCATAACTACAATGTCAATGGTGTCTGGTTCACCTCCAAGACTTCTCTTCCACAAGAATTAGCCTGGTGGCCAGAAAATAATTGAATTAGTAACATGACATGGGCCACTTAGAACATACACCTTAGGGAGCTTTCCTGTTACTGGGCTGTTGCTCTGTAAGCCACTTACAGCCTCTCACGACCATAAACAATGCTGCAGTTAGCATGGCCACAGAGAAGTTTCAGATTTTGGAATACTTCTTTTCTTTCTTTTTTTTTTTTTTTAAGATATTTTAATTTTATGAATACATGCTTGTGCCTGAGTGTATGTATGTACACCATGTGCATGCAATGCCTGTGGATCCCCTGGGTTACAGTTACAGATGGCTGTGAGCAACCTGACATGGGGGCTGGTAATTGAGCCCAGAACAGTAAGCACTCTTGATAGCAGTCATCTCTCTAGCCCCTGGATGTTTCTTTAAGAGAGATGGCATCCTGCTATCACCTTTTCTCAGTTTTGCGTATCTGTTACCTTTTCATCTTTTACATTTCAGTCTTAGCCTCAGGGTCTCCCAGGACACAGTAAGCCTCATAATCCTGTGGGTCCATTCCTTCCCCATTAAAGCAGGCTTGCTCTCCCTTCCATTACCTTCAAGTGTTCTTACCATTAGGAAGGCACTTGGAAAGTGAAGGCACCAAGAGGGACACGTGACACAGACAAGGCCAAGTTGAGTGTGGGATTAAGAAGGGCATTGGGAAGAGACTCAAGGAAGTAAGACCCTGTGAAATTCAGATGGGATCACACTAGCCGGTGTCTTGAGAAGGGTTTGGGAGAGGACTATGGAAAGTGAGAGAGACAGAGTGGATGATGTAGCTTTCCTGGTGGTAGCAAGGCTTAAAGCCTGAGGTTATTTATAACTCAAGAGGACTATTTGCTGGATGGACTCTGAGATAGGGCTTTGTGATGCAGGGATACACTTTAGTGAAAAGATGAGGATTAGTGAAGGCTGGACCAGGGAGAGGGCAGTGACAGGTAGAGAGCCTGGGTCATACCAGAGGGGCAGACAGACAGAGCCTGAGTAGGAGGGCTATCAGGTGAGGGGAGGGGAGGTCAACCAGAGGAAATGAACAATTTGGGTAGTGAGCTCACCTCTCTGGGAACAGAGGGCTAGCTCCTGACTTCTTAGTTGATGTCTATTATGTCCATAGTCCTATTTCTTTGAAAGGGAGAAGTAAGGGGAGCAAAAAAAAAAAAAAAAACTGTTTTCCTTTTTTTTTTTTTTTTTGAGACAGGGTTTCTCTGTCTTGCTTTGGAACCTGTTTTGGAACTAGCTCTGCAGACCAGGCTGGCCTTGAACTCAAAGAGATCCACCTGCCACTGCCTCCAGAGTGCTGGGATTAAAGGTGTGCGCCACCACCACCCAGCTCTTTTTTCCTCTTTCAACAGATATGACTTAGGCATCTTTCTTTTGAGTTCCTTCTGCTTAAAAAACAAATTTCAGCCAGGAGATGTTGGCACACACTTTTAATCCCAGTAGGCAGATCTCTCTGAGTTCTAGGCCAGCCTGCTCTGCAAGGAGAGTTCCAGAACAGTCAGGACTATTACACAGAGAAACTCCGTCTCAAAAAACCAAATACATATATTAAACATCAAGTTAAACAACCCTTCAAAGCCAGGCGATGGAGACACACACCTTTAATCCCAGCACTTGGGGGGCAGAGGCAGGTGGATCTCTGTGAGTTTGAGGCCAGCCTGGTCTACAAAGCTACACAAAGAAAACCTGTCTCGAAAAGAAAAAAAAACAAAAACAAATAAACAAAACAAACAAACAAACAAACAAAAAAACCAACCAACCCTTCAAAACATCACATCCCTTTAGAGGCTACATAGGACTTAAGAGAATATTACCATGGTATGTAGAGTGGGCTAACAGGTAACATACATGGACCTTAGCTCAGTAGTAAGGCTCAGTTAGATGTACTTGGTGTGACTGCATTAGAAGGATACTGGGTGGATGGTCTTGCAACTGCTTCCTCAAAGCACTCTCCAGTATTTTCCGTGCATTGACAGAGACCACCAGGCGCTCGTCCACTGCTATCATTGGCAAGGCGGTGACATTGATGATGTCCATCTTCTTGACAGATGCCATTGTCCAACTTCTTGTAAATTGGCAAACAAAAAGTTTCCCTCTCTTTTCCCACTCCAACCTTGTTCTTTATTCAGTCAGCCTGCTGGGATAAAATGGCATAAAACCATCTTATAAAACAAAAAGGGGAAACCCCACACAACAGCCTGCTGAGAGGGTATGATAAGGCGTGTAACACACAATCAATTCATTAGCAGGAAGAAAGTGTTTTGGTCAGAAAGTCCTTTTTTTCTCCCCCAAACTGATGCAAAATATTTATTCAAAGTTATCTGTTTTATACAGTTGTCTCCCTTGCAATAACCATATTCTTTACATATGGTTTATGTTACCAAAGTAATCTTCAAAATTGCCATTTTAAAAAATATATACATATGGGGAGGCTGGAGAGATGGTTCAGTGGTTAAGAGAACTGCCTGCTCTTCCAGAGGTCCTGAGTTCAATTCCCAGCAACCAAATGGTGGCTCACAACCATCTGTAATGAGATTTTGTGCCCTCTTCTGGGTGCAGGAGGCACATGCAAGCAGAACACTATATACATGATAAATAAATGAATCTTTAAAAAAATGAACTGGTGGCCACATCATTACCTGCTCTGAGCAGTGGCAGTAAAGTGTTGTTTAAATTGGTGGCTCCTATTTGTAAAGTCCTAGCTGGGGGCTGGGAGTGGGGGTGGCTACAGGCTTGGACACGGAAGACCACCAAGGTAATAGAAATAAAATAAGTAGTATCAAAACACTACAGAAGTTTTCCAAGCAGTGAAGTGCAATAGCAGAATATGGACATGACAAAGCCCTTAAAACACAAATATTATTCTTAAACAATTGTCAAAGCCACCAGGCAGGGGCTGGCAAAATGACTCAGTAGGAAAAGGGGATCTGAACTTGACTCCTGGGATTCACATAGTACAAGGAAAGGACCGACTCCCACAAGTTGTTTTTGGTCTTTATATGTGCACTGTGGCACACACATCCCCAGTCACAGTGACTAAGTAAATCTAATTTAAAATAAAAAGTCAAACCAAACAAACAAATAGCAGAGGGCTGGGAAAATGGCTCAGGGGTTTGCTGCTCTTACAGAAAACCTATCCTTGGGTCCTTGCACATAGGCTGGGCAGCTCTCAGGGACCTAACTCCAGTGATTTGACGGCCTCTGCTGGCCTCCTCTCACATCTGCATATGCCCACACACATTTAAAAAAAAAAAAAAAAAAGTCAATCTTTAAGAAAATTCAGCTGACAGATATATATTTGTCTTAATCTTCAAATTCTAAGGATATACAAAATCTTTTTTGTTATGTTTTGTTTTTGAGACAGGGTCTCTCTATATATCCCTGGTTGTCCTGGAACTTGCTCTGTAGACCAGGCTGGCCTCAAACTCAGAGATCTGCTCTGAGGGGTCACTGCTACCTGACTAAAAATAAAATATTTTTAAAATGCTACTTTAACCTATCAATCTTTCACTCCTTCTGCATGCACTTATTGAGACTCTGGCCCCACCTGGCCACAGAGACCTTCAAGAGGGAGCCTGGCAGGGGACTAGCTGTGGCAGTTCCTGGTACTGAAGGCATTGTACTCCCTCTCCAGTGCATGGTGGATTTCTGGCTGAGCCTGCACCTTAGGATAGGAAGCAAGAAGCTCATTTTTAACAGTAATTTTAGGCTTAAGTACTTCTCTCTGTGTGTGCCTGTGCTTATGTATGTGCTTGTATGTGTACATGTGTGCTTGTGCATATACCCATGTAGGGAAAGGATGGAAAATACAGCCTAAATCTCCAATGACCCAGGAAGCTAGAAGTTTAGAAATACTATCTAACAAACCCTAAAAACCTCAAATTCCAGACCCTGTCCTCTGCCAGTAAACAGGCGAGGTCACACTCCTTGCTGCTTAGACAGACAGGCCCTTGATTACATAATCCTGGCCTAGTAAGATAACAGAAAATGAGCTGACTAACTGCTAATCTGACTTAGTAAACTGCTTGTGAAACCCTCGCCCCAGTGACCTATGTGTGGGCTTTGTTATAAACCCTCTAAAAACTGTCTCAGTTCTGCCCTCGAGGTTCTCAGTCCTCTACCCCTGCGTGGCATAAGACTGTGGACCCCAGTGCACTTGGAATAAACAAGTCCTCTTGCATTTTGCATCAAGACCGCTTCTCGTGAGTGATTTGGAGTGTTGCCTTTCCTGAGTCAGAGCGTGAAGGTCCACTCTCTGTGGGTCTTTCATTAGTACATGTGAAGGCCAGAGGATGTTGTCAATCAATTTTCTACCATGTTCTATGAAACAGAGTTTCTCACTATCCATTTCAGCTAGAGTCAGCTAGAGTGGCTGACCTATAATAAGCCTTGGGATCTCCTAGCCTGAACCTGCTAGAACTGATTTTAGAGGTGTGTTATCACTCTAGAAGTAGTGGGACCTAGGAGAATGGAGCTGATAAATGAGGCAGACAAAAGCCTAATGCAATAGCCAGCTTTATTCAGACCCTTCAACAATTTATACTCAGGGTTAAGAAAGGTCACATAGGACTAAAGTTCTCATGAGTTCAAGCAGTGTAGAATCTCTAGGATAAGCTGCACATGGCAAAAACATGTTTCTCCATAGAGATGTAAGGATGGAAAAATTTAGCCTAACTCTCCCTAAACTCTGCCCCCTAGCAGTGAGTAGGCAAAAGGTCACATGCTTGGCTGTTTACGACAGCACCTGTGAATGAATGAACACAGGAAATGAGCCTTGTCACACCACCCAGAAGCCCTATGGAAAGCAGACTTCCTGGGCTAAGCTTGGGCTTGGATAGTTCAAATTGATTGGTCCGCACTGGATGCTATGAGATGATTGGTTTATGATGATTGGTTTATGATGCGCGGGCTTTGTTGTAACCCTATAAAAGCTGTCTAAACCGTGTACCCAGGGTTCCCAGTCCTCTACTCCATGTGGAGTATGGCTGTGAACCCCAGTGCACTGGAATATAAAAGACCTCATGCTTTTGCATCAAGACCCCTTCTCGTGAGTGATTTGGGGGAGCCGCCTTTCCTGAGTCCGGGCGTGAGGGTCCACACCCTCTGTAGGTCTTTCAGAGGCATAACCAAACAACACCAGCAAGCAATATGAGAAATCTGAAGAAACACATTCCTATCCACTACACCTGGGAGAAGCACAAAAACACTTCCAAGAACAATTCTGTTTTGAAAAGACTGAGGAAACAGGACTGTATTCTTGGAGAGTTCTCACAAGCACTCAGAAATCTCTTCACACAATTCCATTCCTGGACACCAAGACCCGATTTCCATGGATTTGGAGGAGCCAGACTCAGGTCCTCATGTCTGCACAATAAGCACTGTGCCCACCAAGTGAACGCCCAGCCATCCCCACCTCCATGGTAAGTATTTAACCTAGAGCTTCAGGCATCTAAGCTAGCTCCCCACCACTGAGCTCTATCCTCAGCCCTGTGCTTTTCTTGTTTTGTTTTTCCAGACAGGGTCTCTCTGTGTAGCCCCAGGCTGCCCTGGAATTTGCTCTGTAGACCATGCTGGCCTTGAACTCACAGAGATCTGCCTGACTCTGCCTCCTGAGTGCTGGGATTAAAGGCGTGTGCCACCACTGCCTGGCTCTATACACATTCTCTTAATATGAGGGTGCCTACCCCTCCCCACACCCATGACAGGAACTTTTAGCTTTGCTTCTTATGATTTTTTAAAAGTTCTTTTGTTGTTGTTGTCCTCAAGCAGCTCATTCAGAACAAAAGGAGAGAGCTAGGGTCATGGAGAAACTAGCCCAGGTCTCCTTTACCACACTCCTTCCTGCACCCTGTTCCCACTATTCGGTCTCCCTCTCTACTCTTCTCCCAGCTCTACATCCCAGAGGCCTGGCCCAAAGGCTTCTCCCTGCTTCCCTATCATGGTATGTTCTTTTTAAAATTTCTTCATTAATGGGGGCAGGGATACACACCAACAGGGAACATGTGGAGATCAGAAGACAACCTCCTGCAGTCTGTTTCCTCCTCCACATGTGTTCCAGCTTGTGTGATGAGCACAGTAGCTGCTGAGCCATCTAGCTGGCCAGGTCACGCCATGCTGTTAATGCCCCCACGTCTTTGCACCAGTGATGCACCATCTTTAGAAAGACCTGGAATTATCCCAGGCCACCAGAACCATGACTCTTTCGTATCTACTTTCATCTGTTACAGCACTTAATATATGAAATTGGCAGCTGGCTATGGTGGCACTTGTCTAAAACCCCAACAAGATAGTAGTTGGGACTCAGGCAGGATCAAGAGTTCAAAGCCAGCTTTGGTTACCTCATCAACTCTTGTCTCAAAAAAATAAAATCTGAACTGGATAACTTACTTCTATGTCTTTCTCTATTAGCAGAATTACTCCAGGGGTAATCACTAGGATTAGAGTAATCATCCAATACTTGGTTTCTTTTAGAAGAAGTCTGTCACAGACTGCTCTGTAGGAGGCATGTAGGTCCTTGTGCTCACACATAAGCACTAGAGAAACCAGGAAGGTTAAGCACACAGGGCTATCTCTTCAAAGGGAGAGATGTACAACCTGTTTTCCCAACCAGACAGCACTGACAGCCTGATGACCTCTGCACTATCTCTGTGGCCAGGTCACACTGATCGGCAGACACTTATCTTGAGCTAGTCTGTCTCAGTCAATCTCTAGTGCTACCTCCTCCATACCCTCACCATACTTGTTTATCTTGAACTTTTTCTTGGTTATCTAAGGAACCCATCTTTATGGAAAACAGCACTTGTACTTTACAAAGAGTTTTGATGCCCTATCTTAAGTTTTGTTGTGCACATGGGATTGAGTTAATTATCACCAGGAAACTTCTTTTTACTATTTGTGCTGTGTTCAAACATGCCTAAAATAAACTACTCAGAGTCAGACTCTCAAAGTTTGAACCAACACCAGCTAGTGAGTCCGGCTGAACAGAATTACCTTATCTCCCTCTGATCATGACTCTGCTGGCTTTGTTGGTTGCAGGGATCCCTCCACACCATTCCATCCCCCTGCCAAGGTCCATCGAATGGAAGGAAAGACTGGCCCAGGCCCAGGTCAGTACTGTTTCTTGCCCTCTGTTCCTAGTCTTTAGTCTCACAGGCCAAGCAGGGAGAGATAAGAGGAGGCAGGTGCATTTTAGGGCTTCTCATTGTCCCCTTACCCATTCCCCCAATGGCTAGAAAATTACACTATGTTCTCTGAGAAGCTGGGTGCAGATAACTCTGTCAGAAGCTTCCAGCTTTAGCCTAATTCTATTATTCATGCCTAATATGAGAACTGAGTAGTGTTTTTCTAAAGAGGAATGTTTAAAATACACACAGTGCTCTGGGCTGAAATCTTCCTCATACCATTTAAGGGTATGTGAAAGGATGAAAATACAGCCTAACTCTCCAATGACCACTGAAAATTAAAAGTTTAAAAATATCCACCAACATATATTTAAAAATCACCCTAGCTACATGCAAAGCTCAGGAAAAAAGGAACACGTGAAATAGCCCCGTCATGATGACTGGTTTCTGGGAATTGTTATTATTATTCATAACCACCTAGTTTCTGAGGAATGTTGTTATTCTCAACAACAGTCTGGTTTCTGGAAATTGTTATGGGCCATCTTATTCAAAAAGACATAACCACTCAAGTTTTAAACTGTCCCAAGGCCTTGCTTTCTGGCTGAATAAGGATGACAGGAGATGAGTTGACCAGCTGCATATCTAACTTTAGTAAATTGCCTGCGAAACCCCTGCCCCAAATCCTAACTACCAATTATCACTCCACCCAGGAGCCCACACCAATACAGCTATAGAAAAACAAAAATTGGTTTAAATTGATTGGCCCAAACCACATGGGATCTTGACACTTTGGGATGATTGGTTTGGTGTGTGGGCTTTGTTATAAACCCTATAAAAGGTCTCAGTTCTGCCCTCGAGGTCCTCAGCCCTCTACCCCTGCGTGGCGTATGACTGTGAACCCCAGTGCACTTAGAATAAAGTCCTCTTGTATTTTACATCAAGACTGCTTCTCATGAGTGATTTGGAGTGTCACCTTTCCTGAGTCAGAGCGTGAAGGTCCACGCTCTGCGGGTCTTTCATATGTATGCTCAGGAGCACAGTAAGGCTTTACTGTTTTTGCTCTAAGAGGGAGAGCCAGCTTCATAGAAAGCTGCTCTATGGCAAGCACTGTGACAGGGGCTGAGGTGGATGAGTGGGACATGAGAAACCTTTCCCCTCCCAGCATTCTGGCAGATGGGATTTGAATATCCTCCTAAAGTTAATATTTGATAGCATGTAGAAAGCAGACTGTGGAGTCAGACTTGGGTTCACTGTCAAGTTTCAGCCATGCAATGACTATTTACTAAAGACCTCCCACAGACCAGCAAGTGTACTCCAACTGGGCATGACATAGTGAGCTAGGCCAGACTAGATTTATGTAACTTTAGTGGGGCTGACTATTGGTGTAGAATTGTAAAACTAAAATAAGTGCATAACTATAAATTATTATTTATAAAAGTCATGCAATAACAATGAATTAATCACTCCTGCTTCCAAAGGTGGTTCACAGAGATGACAAAGTGTGGTTTGTTTAGTTTCTTTTGAGACAGGGTCTCACTATGTAGCCCTGGCCAGCCTGGCACTTGCTATTTAAACCAGGCTGGCCTCCAACTCATAGAGATCCCTGCCTCTGCCTCTCAAGTGCTTCAACAGTTTGTTCTGACCTATTTACAGAGGTCAAGGTGCAGAAGGAAAAGCAGGAGTTACTTGGCTAAAGATGGGAAGAAAATGCACAAGGTTAGGGGAAGGCTCCATGGATATTGCCCATCCTGGTAGCCATTAGCCACACATGAAAACAAAGTTCTTAAATTTGGTTCATAGGACTAAAGAAGGTAAATTTTATTTTAAAATTAAAAAAAAAAAAACAAAGCAAGGTAAACTTTAAAATATTTATATTTAAGCATATTTTGGACAAGCCGAGTTAAAAAATAAAACTGTAGTCAAGTTAATCTGTTTTGATTTTACTTTTAACAGCATAGGGTCAGGTGTAGTAGCACTAATCTTCAATCCCAGCACTCTGGAGACAGAGACAGGAGGATTTGGAGACCAGCCAAAACTACATAGTGAGACCCAGGGTCAAATCCAAAATGCTAAAACGGAAAAATGTTTAGGGACAGGATGAGTTGAGAACTCCAGGGCACCCTGGGCTACCCAGTGAGATCATATCTCAAAAATAAATAAATAAATAAATAAATAAAATAAAGAAGGTGCTTTGCTTTAGGTATAGCTTATCGGTAAAATGTGGGATCAGAGTGCACATGGCTCAGGGTACAACACCAAAAAGCTGCAAATTACAGATGTGGTCTGCTTTATGTTTCTGGTGAACCAGTGAGTGCTAAGCTAGATGTTTAATTTTGAACGTGAAACTCTTCTCTTCTAAAGCAGTGTGTGGCAAAGGTGGAGGAAAACTGTTTGCAGACAGGCGAATTGGTCCTATCCCTTAAGGCTGGGATAACACCTAGTGCACCCACTAGGCTGCAAGGAAACATCTCTTGGGTGGCCCATTTCTTCATTTACCAAACAGAACATGAAAGAATGAAAATACAGCCTCTCTAATGACCACTAAAAGTTAGAAATTTAAAAATATCCACCAGCATGTATTTAAAAAATCACCCTAGCTGCATGCAAAACTCAGGAAAAAGAAAACACATGAAATAGACTGGTTTCTGGAAATTATTATTATTATTCATAACCACCTAGTTTCTGAGGAATGTTGTTATCCTCAACAACAGTCTGAAAATTGCTATGGGTCATCCTGTCTACAAAGAAAATAACTAAAAGAGACGGGACTCATGGCAAGAAGGGAAAACCAGAAAGAACAAGTGTCTCTGCCAATAGATACAGATAACTCCCTGACAGGAGAGTACATTCTCCCTGCCCCCATTATCTTAAAGATAAGGCCACTGAGCCCCCATTATCTTAAAGATAAGGCCACTGAGCCCGCTGGTCCTAGAGAAAGAAAACCCCCTAACCTTGCAGGTGCGCTAAACAATCCTGCCTTGTAAAAAACTATGTACTCTATGAAATCTCTGTAACCTAGGAAACCTTACTAACCATCCAAGTTTTGAACTGTCCCATGACCTTGCTTTTAGGCCTAGTGAAAATAACAGGCTAGCTTTGAAACTGGCCTTGTTAGCTTTGATGTAAATCCTATAAAAGGACCCTTGAGGTCCTCATGCTATTTGCATCAAGACCACTTCTTGTGAGTGATTTGGGGTGTCGCCTTTCCTGGGTGGGAGCGTAAAGGTGTATACTCTGCAGGTCTTTCAAACACAGTACACGCCGTGGAATTCTGGAGGGGATTCTCCCGTTCTCCGCCCTTTGTTTACTGGGCAAACTGGGCAACTGACCTTCCTGGACCTCAGTTCCCCTTGCTCATAGTCACGAGAAGGCAGGCCCGAAAGAAGGCAGGCCCGCAGGTCTTCCGTTTATTCCTGTCTTACCTGAGAGCTTCGGCGGAATCCCAAAGCCTCAGGGCGGGTTTCACCTCAGTCCAGTGACCCGACCAAGCTCTGGATGACCGCGGCATCCGTGGCCCCCAAATCACTGGGAGGGGGCGCGCTTTGCTTTGTGGCCGGGGCAGCGGAGCCAGAGACGGGGCCATTTTGCTACTGTGAGTCCAGCCCGGGTCACACTACACACGCCTTTTCCACAACAATGCAGCCCTGAGCCAGCGCGGTGGGGCACACACGGTTACCATGGCGACGATGCCGCTACCCGGGGGCCAGACCAACATGTTTAAGGGGTCACTCCTTTCCTTGCCTATGCCGCTTAGCGCATGAGAAACTCCAGAATACTTTCTCAAGGCCTTCCTCGCTTCGTGAACCCTCGGGGGCCCAGCTGCTCCGCGGAGACTCGTCTGAGAGGTGACACCACCTCCGTCCTCGGTGGTAGAGGCCATAGCAGCTGCGCATGTGCGCGATGGGAGCCCGGCGCCCGCCAATCGCAGTCGCGGCGGTTGACGCGGCGTGGGCGGATCCTTGCAGAAGGCTAGCAGATAGCTCTGGACTCTGGCTTCGCAGACGCACCAGGTACATCTGGGAACAGTATGAGAAATTTCGGGCCGACCGTGGTGGATGGGAGGTGGGTAGGACACCCGGTACCACTGGAGAGGATGGTGGGCAGGCCGGGTGTTAGCGTGCTCCGCGGCGCATCTTGCCTCGGTGTTTTGACCCATCACTTGAAGGGTGTCTTCTAACCGGTACCGAATTCCCATGGTTCTGTGGCCCGTGCGCCTGCAGACACACCTGCAGAGTTAAAGTTGGCTCTTAGATCTTTCGAAACACTTTTTTTCATTGAGAATCGAGTGAAAACCAAAGATGCTTCCTTTACTTTCTTGTCGGGGTAAAGATAATGCATTTTATAGCCTGATGCGAACTAAAGCTTAGCACAGTAAGCAGTTTCCTGAGAGGGCACAGCTTGATCTGCTACCCAGGGTTATGATGAGCATAATGTGCCAACAACTTGTAAACACGAAAGGACTTCTCACAGCTGGGTTCTGTTATTATTCTTGGTTATAAGTAAGGGACTCGAGGGCTGGAGAGATGGCTCCACGTTTAAGAGTACTAGTTGCTATTGCAGAGAATTCCAATTCCCTTCCCAGCTCACAGCCGCCACTAACTCCAGTTTCAGAAATCTGAGGACCCCAGGCACGTGGTATGCAGACTTACATGCAGGCAAAACACCCATACACATCAAAACAATAACGGCAAATAAAGTAGTTGAGGCCCTTGGGGAATAAAATACTGAGATTCCACTGAGGATGAATGAGCATTGGTGTTGGTTGAAAAGCAGGAATGTCCCCCTAAATTTCTTGATCCTGAGTCCTCCCTATGAAAAAGCTTCACTAAAGAACCCTAGGATTAAAGGTGTCTAATCAAAGGCAGGTGGATCTCTGTGAGTTCGAGGCCAGCATGGTCTACAGAGTGAGTTCCAGAATAGCCAGGGCTGTTATACAAAGAAACACGTCTTTTCCTTTTCTTTTTAATTTCAACTTTATTTAGCCAGTGTGTTCAATTTTAATATTATGGTAGAAATGTCTCAAGAATGGGTGTTTGACTCAGCCTCAGTGTAAAGAAGCCCTATCTTGAAAAACAAAACAAAAGAACCACCCTAGGATCTCAGCCAGTTGATTGTAAAGTCATCCAGAGAGTCTTGCAGCAGGGTGCTGAGATGCCCTATGCTGTGATCTAGAAGGGTGTGTGTGTGTGTGTGTGTGTGTGTGTGTGTGTGTGTGTGTGTGTTAAAATTTTGTGAAGGGGACTGGTGAAAAAGCTCAGTGAATATGAGTGCTTGCTGTACAAGTATGAAGACCTGAATTCAAATCACCAACATCCCAGTAAAATGCCTGATACAGACTTTAACAGCTGTAATTCTAGCACTGTTGGAGACACAGGAAGGAGTGCTTGGACTTGCTGGCCACCAGTCTAGCTCCAGGTTCAGTGAGAGACTTTTTAAAGGGAATATGACAAAGTGATAGGGCACCAGACCTAGTGTCCTCTTCTGGACTCTGTCTCTGCACACACATAACACACAAGCATAGCATACAGCACATAAACACATAATTTAAAAAAACTACCATGAGGCCCTTGTGGTTTTAAAACTTCTCTTTATTTGTTATATTTAAATTAAAAAGATGCCAAGTGGTGGTGCACGCCTTTCAGCCCAGCACTTGGGAGGCAGACCCAGGCAGGTCTCTGGGTTCCAGGACAGCCTGGCAGTTACACAGAGAAACCCAGAAGTCGTGACTAAAGCAGCTGTAATGGTGTCATTTGTCAGCTCCACCATGTTCTGCTCTCTCCTTTTCTTGAGGCACCTTCCCTCTCATTAACAGGACATGTGACTTGACACATGGACCAAGAGATCCACACTGCTGTGAGTCTGGGAATGAAATACCCAGACTATAGCTTCTTGGCTTTAGAATGGCTGATATGTAGAAGTTAGTGTTCCTAGCACTGTTCTTACTGGCTTATGGGGAAAGAAATCTAATTTCCTTGGTCCACACTGTAATGCTGGTGAGGCCAACCTGGGCCAGGCTTGCCTAAGGTTAATATAACTGTGAAACCACACAAACTTTGGTTCAAATGCCTGTTGCCACTGAAGACCTTAGCTTTCTAGATGTCACCAACCAAATGGGGTGACTAGGAGGAGCTTGTCAAGGGGTAATTGTGAATTAAAGGAGATTATGCAAAGGCTTTAGCATAGTGCCTGGCACATAGGAGGTATCCAAAGCCTGGGAGCTCCTACCAGGACTTGTAGGACCTCAGGCCTCCCTTTGCTGTTCTGTCTAAAAGGACAACTCTTCCTAGTAGATATTGCCCGGATTGGTAATTGTCAATGGCTAAAATGTCTTTACGATTTGACAACAATGAAATAAAGTCTCTGATCTGTTTGACCCTAGGAGAAGGAAGTGCTGGTGTTTCCTCAAGTCAGGAATGCCTCTCTTTGGGAGTATATTCAGCCCAAAGAAGACCCCTCCTCGGAAGTCTGCCTCTCTCTCCAATCTGCATTCTGTGAGTGGAGATTGGGGTGTCACAAGTGGTGTCTGGGTGAAGACACAACACTGTGGGAGGGCATCAAGTTTGGATTCATGTGTGGGAATTACTATCAGAGTTTATTCAAGAACCCACCAATAGCCAGGCAGAGGTAGTGCATACTTTTTTATCCCAGCACTCAGGAGGCAGAAGCAGGTGGATCTCTGCGAGTCTGAGGCTATCCTGGTCTACAAAGGGAGTTCCAGGACAGTCAGGGCTATTATACAGACAGACCATGTCTCAAAAAAGAAAAAAGAACCCACTAAGACAGCCAAGCCTCATTCTGATTTTGGTCCCAGGTGATGATGTCCAGTCTGACTTACATTTTAGTTCCAAAATTTGTCCAAGAATTAATTTCAGTCAGGTTTAAAGATCAAATTCAAGCTGGGTATAGTGGTATACCTTTAATCTCAGTACTCAGGAGACAGAAGCAGGTGGACCTCTGTGAGTTTGAGGCCAGCCTGCCCTACATATAGAGAGGTTACCCAAAGCTACAGGGAGAGGCCCTGTTTCCAAAAACAGAGAAGAATTTCAGGGGCTTGAGAGATGGCTCAGTCATTAGGGACATTTGTTGCTCTTGTGGAGGACCTGGGTTGAGTTCCCAGAACCCACATGGCAGTTCACAACCATCTATAACTCCAGTTATAGGGGACCCAATGCCCTCTTCTGACCTACATTTACAAGGCACTGCATTTACAAGGTTCACAGACTTACATGCTTGTAGAACACTCATATACATAAAATAAAAACAAATCTTTTGTTGCTGTTTTGGGAACAGATTCTCTCTGCGTAGTCCTGGCTGTCCTGGACCTGTCTTTGTAGACCACGGTGGCCTCAGACTTAGATATGCCTGTCTCTGCCTTCTAAGTGCTGGGATTAATGGTGTACAACCCCACACCCTGCCACAAAACAAAAAAAAAAAAAAAAATTTTTAAGGGGTCAAGTTTATTTTTGAAGAAGTCACAGAAGATGCCGACTTGCCACCATTTAGTGACATTTGAGAGGATAATAACAGTTCCAAAAGAGGTGGCCCAAATACATTTGAGACTATTGCATTCCCCCATGTTGGGGAATACTATTTTAAGGTATATGACTTTTGTTTATACTGCATTTGTTTAACTCTGTGAAGCAGTGTTTCTTTGTCTGTCTAAAAGACCTGATGGTCTAATAAACAGTTGAACGGCCAGTAGTGAGGCAGAAGAAAGGATAGGCGGGACTGGCAGGCAGAGAGAATAAGTAGAAGAGAAATGAGGAAGAGAGTAACAGAACAAGGAGAGGAGGGGTCAGGCACCCAGCCATGCAGCCACCCAGCCAGCCATGGAGTAAGACTGAAAGATTTAGAAAAGAGAAAGATAAAACCCAGAGGGAAAAGGTAGATGGAATCATTTAAGTTAAAAGCTGTCTAGCAACAAGTCACATTAAGGTGGGAAGTCATAACTAAGAATAAGTCTCCATGTATGTTTATTTGGGAGCTGGGTGGTTTGACCCCCCCCCCAAAAAAGGAGAAAAGACAGCTTACTATACCACCACATTCATGTCTATCTTAATTTTGAATGATAATGCTTGCTCTTACATACCAAGAGATGACCCTGGTTTCTGTGTTCTTTTCCCACATGACAGATTGTGCAGATTAGCAAATCCTTCACGGGTCAGTGGATAAGGCAGCAAGGATAACCTCAACTCTGAAGTCTTTGAGTCCGTTGCCTCTAGTCCCCAGTTAAAGTCACAATGGCAGCCCTGCTTAGGCCAGGGCTAAACATTCTAGGATCCTAGGTTTCCATGTGGTGGGTGTTGAGCCTCCCTCCTGACATCAGCATGCAAAAGCACCTGCTGATCTTCCTGAGACAGCTCCTGTCCTGAGGACATGCTCATAAAAAAGTCTGTCTCAGAACTTCAGTCTGTGATGGTGGTGAGTGCCTTTAACCCCAGCACCAGTAGAGGCAGGTGGACCTCTGAGTTTGAGGGCAGCCTGGTCTACAGAGGGAGTTCCAAGGCAGGCAGGGCTCCACAGAGAAACCCTGTCTCAAAAACTAAAAAATTGTCTCTGAGTGTGACTCAAAGCCCATCATCCCTGCAGTTTTTTGGAGCCTCGCAGACAAATGCTGTAACAAGGAAACACAAAACAAAACATTGTGGTATACGGAGTCCAGGGAACTTAATAGCAGCTTGTTATTACAGGACAGTGGCCCAGGCCTTGAGAAAGGCACATAAGTTGCCATATGGCCTTGTCCTCTGTACACCTTTTGCTTCAGCCACCCAATTGTACAAGAGCCTCCTGTATGCATGTCACTCTGCCTGCCCAGGGTCATCTTCCCTCCTTATCCATTTCATGACAGCTAATTGAGAGCTCTGTGTATGAGGCCTTCTCTGGGGTGCTGGGTATGAAATAAGAAGAGGGGGTTGTGGCCTGTAATTCCAGATGCTTGAGGCTGAAATAGGATTACAAGATCAAGGCCTGCCTGGGCACCTCAATAAGACCCTCTCAAAATTTATAGCATTTTTTAAAGGGGTACTCAGGGAAATGGAGAGATGGCTCTGTTGAGAAAATGTGAGAACCTAAGTTCAGTCTCCAGAATCAACATTTTAAAAGCTGGGCAGGGGCTGGAGAGACAGCTCAGGGGTTAAGAGCACTTGTTGCTCTTGCTGAGGACCCAGGTCTGAGTCCCAGCACCCACTTGTTGCTTCACAGCCATCCATAACTCCAGGTCCAGGGACTTAATGCCCACTTCTGACCTCCATAGGCACCAAGCACATGGTGCACATACACACATGCTGACAAAACACAATAAAACAAATAAATGTATTTTTAGAAATATAATAAATTTTAAAATGCTGGGCATGATGTCATGTAAATGGGGTTGGGGCACAGGAAGACACCATGGGGCTGAGGACAAGAGTACCCTTGGGACTCGCCGTCTTTCAGCTTCAGAGAGAACTTCTCTCTACATAGGCGCTGAAAAAAGGCAGAGGGAGGGGGAAAGAGACTGGAGTGGAGGACAGTTATCAGAAAAATACAAAGAGGGAGGGAGAAGAGAATCAACTACACACTTTTGAAAATGCCATATGATAGCTAATACCCTGTATGCCAGTTTCTTTATTTTTGTGGGGGAGTAGAGTTGAGACAAGTTCTCTCTAGGCTGGCCTCAAACTCACAGAGGTCCATCTGCCTCTGTCTCATGAGTGCTGGGATTAAAGATACATGTCACCATGCCTGGCCTGATATTTTTTTTAAATGTGGATAGTACCTGAGAAATGACACCCAAGGTTGTGCTCTGGCCTCCACACATGTACACACGTACCTCCACATACATGGACACTCCTGTACACACACACACACACACACACACACACACACACACACAGCAAGGGATATAGCTCACTGGTAGAGTACTTGCTTAGAATATTCAAGCCCTAATAGCATAAATAAATAAATAAATAAATAAATAAATAAACAAATAAGCAAGCAGTACACAGATAACTTATGAGGAGACCAGTGTGGAAACAAAGTTGTGACTTTAAATAGATAATCAAGTCCCAATTGAGCAACAGACATTTCACTTGAAGGACTCCTTCCCTCTCTTTGTGTGTGTATGCTCTGTGTGTGTGTGTGTGGGGGGGGTGCTCTGTGTGTATATGTGTGTTTTTTCGTATGTATGCTCTCGGCGGTGTGTGTGTATGTGTATGCTCAGAATGTGTGTGTGTATGATTTGTATGTGTATGCTCTGTGTGTGTGTGTATTCTGGGTGTTGTATGTAGTTGTGTGTGTATGCTCTGGGTGTGTATACTCTGTGTGTGTGGGGTGTATGCTCTCTGTGTGTGTGGGGGGTGTATGTATTCTGGGTGTTGTTTGTGGTTGTGTATGTATGCTCTGGGTGTGTATACTCTGTGTGTGGGGGGGTGTATGTATTCTGGGTGTTGTTTGTGGTTGTGTATGTATGCTCTGGGTGTGTATACTCGGTGTGTGGGGGGGTGTATGCTCGGTATATGTGTTTTTTCGTATGTATGCTCTGGGTGCTGTGTGTGTGTGTGTGTGTGTGTGTGTGTGTGTGTGTGTACTCTGGGTGTGTGTGTATGATTTGTGTTATGTATGCTCCGGGTGTGTGTGTGTGTGTGTGCATGCGCACACTGCCTGGACCTGTTTCTTGAGCTGCTCATGTCTCCCTCACAGGGGCAGAAGCTATTCCTCCAGAAGAGCTGATCATACTCATCTCTGAATGCTCGGGAGCCAGGCCTGATTTAGGGAATATTTGACGAGTTCTGTCAATGAATACAGAAATTAGACAGTCATACATTAAACAAGCCCTAGCAGGAACTGCATGCTTCTTCATAACTAAGTTTCCTTATTATAAACACACAGTGATAGGGGAAAATGAATTAAAACCAAGTATCATTACACATATAAAAATGTACAGTGGCGAGCTAAGCTGTGGTGGTGCACATCTTTAATCCCAGCACCTGGGAGGCAAAGGTAAGAGGATCTCTGTGAGTTCAAGGCCAGCTTGGTCTATAGTGTGAAGTCCAGAACAGGCTTCAAGGCTACAAATAAACCCTGTCTGGAAAAACCAAAACAACTCAAAAAAACTGTACAATGGATTCTTTGAACTGTAAAGTAGATATGAAAATTTGAATTTACAAATTACAGCCCAAGCCGGGTGTTAATGGTACATGCCTTTAATCCCAGCACTCAGGAGGCAGAGGCAGGCAGATCTCTGTGAGTTCGAGACCAGCCTGGTCTATAAGAGCTAGTTCCAGGACAGCCTCCAAAGCCACAGAGAACCCCTGTCTCAAAAAAAAAAAAAAAAAAAAAAAATAAAATAAAATAAAATAAAATAAAATAAAATAAAAAACAAATTACAGCCTATATAGCCTTTCTGGAACATCCAAAGCGTAAAACAACATTTCTTCCCTCTTATAGTTTAAATCAGGTGGGTGGGTCCAGTGCTCATCACAAAAGCCAGAAGGGGACATTAACCACTCTCTGCCTTATTCCCTTGAGGCAGTCTCATTCTGAACCTGGAACTTGCCATTTTTCACATAGGCTAGTGATGAGCAAACCCCACTAAGCCTCCTGTCTCCCATCTACTGCCACAGGGACACACAGCACTGGAACTTATAGACACATGTGGGCACACCTGGCTTTTTATGTGTGTACTGGGAACTCAAACTAGGTCAGTTGTTTGCACAGCAAGCACTCTTACCCACCGGGCAATTTTCCTAGCCTCTACTTTAAATGTTTGCTATATACAATTTGATAGTCTAGCCTTTTAAAGTATTTCAGATATTGACAGGTGTGGCAGTATACTCCAATCTCAGTAATCTTGAGGCAGAAGCAGGTGAATCTCTTTGAGTTTGAGGCCAGCCTGGTCTACATAGTACCAGGACAGCCAGGGCTATATAGTGAAACCCTATCTCAAAACAGGATAGACATGTTTTGTTGGGTTTAGAACTAGTGGGGGAAGCTGGGATGTGAGCTCTTGTTCTGTGGCTTTCTGAGCCATCCTAGTGTCTTATCACAGTTAGATCGGTCAACGCGGGAATTGGAGCTGGGCCTTGACTATGGAACTCCTACCATGAACCTGGCAGGGCAAAACCTGAAGTTTGAAAATGGCCAGTGGGTAGCAGGTGAGTGGACCTTCCTGCTGCTCTGTCTATCAGGATGGTGGAAGGAATCCCCTTTCCATTCCTGCTCTGTACTTCCTCTAGACACAGTGATTAGTGGGGGCGTGGATCGGAGGGAGACTCAGCGCCTGCGCAAACGGAACCAGCAGTTGGAAGAAGAGAACAATCTCTTGCGGCTCAAAGTGGACATCCTACTGGACATGGTGAGGAAGGCAACCCAGCCTAGGTTTCCCCTTCAAGGAATCCCTCCCTTGAGTCAAACAACCCAACTGATTTTCCCAGGACTCATTTGCCAAATACATTTCCTGTGTATCCAAACACAAATATAAATGCCAACCTTGTCACCAAAGGCTGGAGCAGGGATGTGTAACAATACCCACAGTCCCTGAGCCTGTGGAAGGCTGTCCTTCCGTCTAAGCAGAGGCTGGCATTGGCACTGAAGAAGATGTCTCTACAGTGGAGAGATCTCCAGTGAAGCAGTGTGTGAGCTGAACGCCCCAGGATAGTGGCAGGGATGGAGGTTAGGATGAAGGCATCTCCGGTGGGGGGTGGGTATCTGCTCAAACTGTATCAGTGTCCAGTGCAGACCTGCTGAGTGCACATACCCAGTCAGTGTCAGTCTCTGTGTCTTCTGGGCCTGGAGGTGCACGTGCATGGCATGATGGAGCCAACTCAAAGTGTCTTTGCCCCACTGCCTAATTGCTGTTTGACTTCATCTCCAGCAAGACAGCTGGCATCAGAGTGGCACTTACTCCGTGGAGCTAATACAAGCCACACACTTACTCTGGAGTAGAGACTGCCCGCCCGACCTCTGTCCTCATTTCAATGTCAGCTTCCATCTGCTGTAAAGCTTGTTCAATGATCCTCAGGGGCAAGGAACATTTTTAGAGCATCCCATTCCCCTGTTTTTTTTTTTTGTTTTGTTTTTGTTTTGTTTGTTTGTTTTGTTTTGTTTACGGCACTGTTCCCTAAGTGCCATTATATGTGCTATACAACTCAAAGTGACTTATAATCCCCTACCTGTAGAGTGCTGGTATCTGTCCTTTTCATCCTTCACGCACAGCATGGCAGACAGTTGTAAATGATGAAAATGCTAAGGGCTGGGATTATGAGTAATTCTTTTGACTGCCAAGGCTTGCCTGTTGAAGAGGCCAGCTGGGTGAGGAATGGCAGGCCTTTCCTTGGGGCAGAGTGGCTGTGCAAGCCTGGACATAGCTGCCTTTTGTAACAATCTGATGCTTACCTTCCAGCTTTCAGAGACCACTGCTGAGTCCCACTTAAAGGACAAAGAACTGGATGAACTGAAGATCATCAGCCGCAGGAGGAAGTGAAGCACCTGTGCACACTCCCTAGGTTATCAGAAAGGCCCACTGTCGGGAGGAGGAGGTGGCAGAGCCCTTTGGTGTTTAGTCAAATAGACTTGCCCTAGGAGAGAGCATTAACAGATCCTAGCTCCCTTGGACTTGGGGATAGGGAAGATGAAAGAAACCAAGGTTCCAAGCCAGGGCCTTAGCTTACGAGGCACCACAGACACATCACCCAGGGTGTCAGTCTAAAACAAACCCCAGGAAGGTCTAGAAAACAGCCTTTGGTTGCTGTCTGCAGGTGACAGCATACAACTATCCATGTCTCAGAGTCACCATGTTCAGACAGTTGACAGTCCACCTCTTAACACTAGTGTCTGGGGTTTGGCGCTAGTTCCAGAGAACACTTCATGTGAGGGTGCACAGTAAGTGACTCTGGGCTCTCTGCCCCCAATGAAGAACCCTCATCCCCAAGTCCACAGCCTCTTCCGACATCAGCTTCCCAGCAGCAAGTTCCCGACTTCCATAGCACGTTGTAATTTACTTGGCTTTCCTGTTTTGATTATTTTTATTTTTTATTAAATGGTGTTTAATAATCTCTGTGTAGCAAAATAGGTAAATGAAAACAAAAAACAAAAAACAAACAAACAAAAAAAAAAACTAGTGTGGGCTCCCCAAGGTAAGCAGAGCCTGGTTTCTAAGTTTTTGTATATGAGTTGTGTACTCCACCAAAAGAATTTTCAGCTCCCAATCATGACACAGACTTATTAATTTAGGCTAGCTCTTTGTTGTTGTTGTTGTTGTTGTTATTTCAAGACAGGGCCTCTGTGGCTTTGGAGACTGTCCTGGAACTAGCTCTTGTAGATCAGGCTGGTCTCACAGAGATCTGCTGCCTCTGCCTCCTGAGTGCTGGGATTAAAAGCATGTGCCACCAATGCCCAGCTTAGGCTAGTTCTTTTAACTTAAATTAACCTGATTCTCTTTATCTACCTTTTTGCCTTGGGGCTTATTACTTTTTTACGTTGTATGTCTTACTCTCACTGCTTCTCTGTGTCTGGCTGGCTTCTGTCTGCCTAGCTTCTTGCCCCTGGCATGTCCCTTGTTCTCTCCCCTTTCTATCTTGAGCCTTGATTTCTTCTCTTATTTGTTCTCTCTGCCCACCAGCCCTACCTATCCTTTCTCCTGCCTAGCTATTAGCCATTCAGCTTTTTATTTAGACCAATCAGTTGCAGGCAGGCAAGGTGAAACAAATGTTTATATAAATAAACAAACATTTACATAATTGAATACAGCATAAACAAAAGTAACATACCTTTACACAGATGAAGTAATATTCCACAGATGTAATTACACCTTTGCCTAGTTAAAATACTTTTCCACAACAGAGTACACTTAGATGGCTCAATGATGTGACTCCCCTTGCCACCACCAGGGTCTCAGAGCCTGTGCAGTGAAGGATTTTGAGCAGAAGGCTGCCATCGCCCCGTTTGTGTGGGAATAACAGGATGAAGGGACTAGGCTGTTCCCACACACAGTGAGGTGAAGAAAGAAGAGCTGAAGTCAGTGTACATGGGACTTGCATGTGGGACTCACCAGGCTTTTTTGACAGTTGTGGCTGTGGAAAGGGACCAAGGATAACCCTTGTTAACAAAAATGTCTAGAAACAAAACAGTCTTCACATCAAGTCCTATTTCCCTTAGGAAAACTATTCATCCCCACCTCCTGCCCAGAGTCATGTCATTTTTGGTTTTGAGATGGAATCTCTTTAGTAATCCTGGCTGTCCTAGAGCTCCATATATAGACCAGACTAACACCCCAACTTATAGAGATCCACCTACCTCTTACCTCCTGAGTACTAAAGCCACCATTATTTGTTTATTTATTTATTTTTTCGAGGCAGGGTTTCTCTGTATTGCTTTGGAGCCTGTCGTGGAACTCGCTCTGTAGACCAGGCTGACCTCGAACTCACAAAGATCTGCCTGCCTCTGGCTCCTGCGTGCTGGGATTAAAGACATGCGACACCAATGCCCAGTGCATGTCATTTTTTAACATAATATTTTTATTGATTCTTTGGGAATTTCATATCATACACCCCAATCCCAGTCCTTTTCCAGTCCCTCCATATTCACCCCTCATCCCTGCAGCATCCCCTCGAAAAGAAATTTTAAAAATATATTAGTTCAAAACAAAACAACCACTTGGCTCCTCCATTTTCCTGCCTCTCCATCACCTCTTCATTCCTCTTAGTGGCACTGGGAACTGCAGTGTGTCACACAGTATGCCCTTTTGTCCATTCAGCTTTACTTGCAAATGTTCATTGACTGCAATGATCCATTGTCTGGGTTGAGGCCTCTGTCTTTTGCTGCACCATCAGTACTGGACCCTCATGGAGACTTCTCCCTGATATCCTTCTGTTGCCCCATATCATGGAGGTCCTTTGGCTGTAGTTCCATAGGACTGGTCCCTTCAGTCACTCCAGAAGGCCATAGATAAGGCAGAGGTTGGGGTAGGGCAACTAAAGGTCTGGTTGCGGGTATAGGTGGTAACTGAGTTGGGTGGGAGGGATGGCCCGTGATGGGTGGGACTAGCTCTTTTGCTGCAATGCCATCGAGGGGCAGGGCCAGCAAAGGTTGGTACCTGTTCAGCTTGGCCCTCAGATTTCAGCACACATGGTTCCTGTGGCCCCCTGTGATATTATGGGCCATGGGATCAACACTCCTGCCAGTGGACCCAGACATGGCCTCCAGCAACTCTGGCCCAGATGTCACCACGGCCCCAGGTGGTAGCACAGATAAGTATGGCCCTGGCAGCGGCATGGCCCTAAGATACCAACATGATCTCAGGTGGCTGGCAAGACCCCAGGTATCCACACAGCAGTCAGTGGTAACAGAAGCGATGGACATCAACTCAAACCCTGGCTGCCGCAGGGTCATGAACCCAGACATGGTCCTCAGCAGAATCCTGGGCCAGATGTCACCACAGCCCTAGGCAGCACAGGTTGGCATGGCCCTGGTGGTGTTATGATCCACAGATAGCAACATGGTCACAGGATATGGCCCAGACCTTGGGCATCTCTGTGGCTTCTGGTGGCAACACAGGCCACAGACATCAACACAGACCCCAGCTGCAGTAGGACCATGGACTCAGCCTGCCTGGCACAGCCCCAGGTTGCAACACAGGCAACCTCAAACCAACATAGCTCCAGCAGCAGTGTGACCCTCAGACACCAACATGGTCCCTAGGGCTACACAGAGACACCCTGTCTTGAAAAACAAACAAAAATTATCCTTTTTTTTGGGTAGAAATATCCTTCAGGTTCTGGCTAAAATTCTCCCTCAAAGCCCTTTCTTAGTCAAACTAGAACCTGAGTGGTGCTGGCCCCTTGACATTATTTCTTATAATCATGGCAACAGTTTTGTGAGGTTTTGTGCTGAGTTGGATTAGGGAAGGATTGTCACTGAAGAGCTGAAATAGTTCCATGGGGCATGAGATAGTATAAGAGGCAATAATCAGAGGAAGTCTGCACTTGGGTTTGCTGGTATAGGCGGTCTTTGATAGCTGCTGTTAAACTTCCCTAAGAGACCCATGTGGCCCCACACCTCAAGAAAGAGCTTCTCACTTCCAGCTTCAGATTATGTCAGGACACAGACAGGGATGGCAGTTACTGTAGTCTTGAGGGAAGAGGCAGGGGAACAGCTGGGAGCTGAGAGTTCTAGAACACCCTCCTCCTATCCAGGTGGAACATAGTCACTCACTGGGACTCTTACAGGTCCTTTTGTCTGGGTGACCTCTGACATGTATTCCACTTACCATGTGTGGCCTTTGCTGCTGAGCCTTTGGTCCTGGAAGCCTGAAGTACTTGCTTGTCACACTCCTCAACTTTGTCATCTGCTCCTAGCTTCTCTGGATCATCATGTGCCCCACCCCTCCCCCAGTCATCTGAAAGTGACATTGCATGATCCCACTGTTTCTCATGGATTGGCAATTTTACTAATATTGAAAACCCTTGTCAAAAAAACCAAACCAAACAAAAACAAACAAAAAAAACCACTGCTGGATGTTGGTGGCATAAGCCTTTAATCCCAGTACTAGTGAGGCAGAGGCAGGAGTTGGAGGCCAGCCTGATCTACAGAGTGAGTTTTAGGACAGCCAGGGCTACACAGAGAAACCCTGCCTCAAAACAAAAACCCTTTACTATTAAATATATCTTAGGTTTTTATTGCTATGAAGAGACACTATGACCACAGCAACGCAAAGAAGACATTTAATTGAGGGTGGCTTGCTTATTCAGAAGTTCAGTTCATCATCGTGAAGGGGAGCATGGTGGCATGTAGGCAGACATGGTGCTGGGACTGAGAGTCCTACATCTTGACTCAGAGGCAACAGTCACACTGAGGGACGCTTGAGCAAAAGAGACCTCAAAACCTGCTTTCAAAATGGCACACTTCCTCCAACAAGGCCACAACTCCAAACAGTGCCACTCCCTTTGCATGCATTGCTGGATATGATGTTGCATGTGTTTAGTCTAAGCATCTTGGAGGGAGAAGCAGGTGGATTTCTGTGATTTGGAGGTCTACTTAGAGAGTTCCAGGAAAGCCAGGGCTACACAGACAGACCTTTTCTCAAAATAAGTAAATGCATAATAATCATAATAATAATGGGAAGATGCTTGCTGCTAAGCCTAAATTTGATTCCCCAGGACCCACATGCTCCAGGGATCAAAGGCCTCTGGCCTCCAAGGATACCTACACTTGTCCACATACACATAATTTAAAATAATTTTAAAGCATTCATTGTTATGTAAGTGGTATGTACCACTTGTAATAATCCCTACACTTGTGAGGCTGAGGTAAGAGAAGTCTGGGGTCAGCCTAGGCTACCAAAACAAGGAAAGCAGGGTGTGGCAACACACACCTTTAATCCCTTGGAATGTAGAGGTGGTCAGAGTTTGAAGCCAGTCTGGGCTACATAGTGAAAACTGTCTATTAGAGAAGTATTCTCACCCAGTGGTGGTGGCTCTGGTCTTTAAACTCAGCACTCAGGAGGCAGAGGCAGGTAGATAATGAGTTCGAGACCAATCTAGTCTACAGAGCTAGTACCAGGACAGTCAGGGCTGTACACAGAAATCCTGTCTCTAAAAGCCAAAAAGAATTTTTTTTTCTTTTAAATATTCAGGTATCCGGGGCCCAGCCCAAGCCCAACTGCACACAATAGCTGAGAAGCACCTGCATCTCTCCTTGAATACGCTCGGAGCTCTTCCTGTAGGCTGGGTTTAAGTGGCTGGAAACACCCAGGGGTCGGGCAAGAGATCTGCTGCTTTTCTCTCTCCCCTCTTCCTCCCCTCCCCTCCTCACTTCCTCCCTCCTTCCAGCCAGCCCGCTTCCGGAAGGCGCTCCGTTCAGCGGCGGGCTGCTCTCGCCGGATCTCTTCCGCTCCCTTCCGCTTCCGGTGTCCTACAGTCATGGCCGCCGCCGTCGCTGCAGCAGGTGCTGGGGAGCCTCTGTCCCCGGACGAATTGCTCCCGAAAGCCGAGGCGGAGAAGACCGAAGAGGAGCTGGAAGAGGACGATGACGACGAGGTACCGGGGTCTGCGGGGAGCGGGACGGGAGCAGACCGTCGAGGCGTGAGCGCCACGAGCCGGGAGGGCGTCTGCTCCGCGCGGCAGGGAAGGGCTGGGCCCAGGGCTCGGCGGCTCCGGTGCTGCTGCCGCTTCGCCAATGACCCGCACCTGCTCCACCACAGCTAGATGAGACTCTGTCGGAGAGGCTGTGGGGTCTGACGGAGATGTTTCCGGAGAGGGTCCGGTCTGCCGCCGGAGCCACCTTTGATCTCTCGCTCTTCGTGGCTCAGAAGATGTATAGGTAAGGGATGAATGTAGAGATACCGAGATTATGCATGGTAAGGACTGGTGCTGTCAAAAGACACCGGACGTCAGAAGCCACCGACGGGAGCTTGAGTGACCTTGGATTCATTGTCATACCCCGAATGTGGTTGGTCTTCTGCAGAATGGAGTTCTTATGTGGCAGGGTTGTGGCAATTTTCATGTTTTCTAAGGTTTCTATACGCGAGCCTTATCCTTATAATCACTAGGTAATCACTGTAATCACTAGGTAATCAATCACTGCTCCTATTGCCTCTGTTAGGAGTGTGGTGCAAGGAATGGGTAGGGTATACTTTGAGAAACATCGAGGGAGGCATACTGGAAGTTCTGTCACCGGTTTGGAAGTGGCTAGGTTGTCTTGCTCTTCTTTGTACACACTCTTCCTCTGCAGATTTTCCAGGGCAGCTTTGTGGATTGGGACCACTTCCTTTATGATCCTGGTACTTCCAGTTGTCTTTGAGACGGAAAAGTTGCAAATGGAGCAACAACAGCAAATGCAGCAGCGGCAGGTAAGCACATGCTCTGCGCTTTGTGCCAGCGGTGGAGGCCCAAGGAGTAGATTGGCACTAAACCCCGAGTGGGAGGAGTTCACTGTACTTTTAGGTGCCTGACTGCTCAGTGGTGTAGAATGTCTACCTTGTATGTGTGACAGATGAGACCTCTGAAACTATAGTGTCTTAACACTCTTCTTTTTCCTTTTCCAGATACTCTTGGGGCCTAACACAGGCCTGTCAGGAGGAATGCCAGGGGCTCTACCTCCACTTCCTGGAAAGATCTAGATTGTTTCTCTGGTATTTGTCCTGTTGGGAGAACTTTGAAATTAAGTTGTTTGAACTGCTGATTGTTTGGATTTTTATTCTTTTTATTTTAAACTTTGGCACATCCATCTATTTAAATCTGGTGGGAACTATTTCCGTTTCTCATGGAGAGACTCCATTTGCACCTATGCCCTTCATAATGTTCTCACTTACTTCCTGTTCTCAATCTGATGCTAGAGTACAGCCATGTGGAAGGCTATTCCACACTATCCCTTTAGCAAATTGTTCCTATCAAAGTTCTCACATGCCCCTTGTGAGGAAGAAGTAAGCATCCCTGGCCATTAAAGACTTTTTTTTTTAAAGAATGAAAATGTCTGGGACATGTAAACAATATGGAACTGACAAAATCCATTACAGCTGCGATTGCAGGAATCCCAGTATGTTGGAGAGAAGGGAGGCTGGCTGTACCTTTAGCCAGATGGGGACTGTGGACAGAGCAAGCACTCATTTCCTCTGCTCATCTGGCTGTTAGACCTGTGTGTTGTGTAAAGAAGTCAGTGCTCACTTTTTGTATTTAAATATTAAAAGAACTCCAACTTAAAGTGTCATTGTTTGTGATAAGTATTTTAAACTAGGCCATTTAAAAAAGCCAGAGACACTGCAGACCTCTATTTCAACCATAAACTAAAGTGAAGTTTTCAAGAAGGAAAAGGATCATTCATTTTTGAGCATAGTATTGATTATTGCTCAGAATCTAAGAATCATTTCAGTTTCTCCCATGGAAAATGAAGCACAAGTTCTACGCAATATTTATAAACCATTTAAAATGTGTACTGCCTTTTAGTCTTGTGAGGGGAAGTTTGTACATAGTTTGTTGTCTAATTCTTGTTTTTCTTGGGCATAGGATGTGGCCATAGCCCAGGCTAGCCTTCAACTCAGTCATCCTGGGTGCTGAGGGATTATGGGGATGCATACCTGGTAAGACTGGGTTTTTTTTAAGTTTTTGAGACAGTCTTTCCTGGAGCTCACAGATATCTGCCTGCCTCTGCCCCTGGAATGCTGGGTTTAAAGGTGTGCGCCACCACTGCCCCACCAAAGGTTTTTACATCACCAGCTAGGCAACAAGTAGATTTGTGTTCAGTTTTTCGTTTTTAATATTTGGTTAAACAAAATACATCTTTGTAAACAAACCCAGCACAAGGCCAACAAAAGAGGGGAATAAAGCAAGAAAAACAAAGCCTAGGGCATCAGGGTCAGGATGCCACTTCCTTAAAAGGAGTGGAGCTTTTTGCCTTTGGGCATCAACATGGGTCCCTGTTCCTAAGCACCAGAATTGGATATGAACAGAACCAGCCCTGAAATGCTTAAGCGTCTTTGTACATCCCACTGGCTTATGGACTCCACGTGCATGGGACTCCTTTGCAGTCAGTGCTATTTGCACAGGCCCAAGCAGACCCGTAGGGAGGAGTCTCCTCTTCCCATGAAATGGGTTACTACCACTGACAGTGCCAATGGACCCAAGATCCTGCCTGTGACAATCAGCAAGGTCAGTCGGCTATAACTTCTGGCTGGTAGTGATTGGAATGTCATTGTGCAAGGTCAGAGCTCCCCGTGCTGCCGAGCAGATCTGGTGGAGAAAACGGTACTGATGACCGTGGTTGATCATAGTGCAGTAGCCACTTGGGGCTTCTGCTACTCCAAAAAACAAAAACAAAAAAAAAAAAAAACCCAGCTTTGTTGGATTGAAGGTACATGAGCAGAAAAAGTGCTGGTGTAAACATGCACTCCAGTCACAGTGGGGAGGTAGCCCCCACTTCACACCAATAAGCTTGTTCAGGATTGACATGCAAGCCCCCAGGCTAGCTGTGCTGCCAAGGGAGAAATCTGGCCAGTGGGGCAGCTCTCAGACCTGCAGAGACCATGGCTCCCTAAGGGCTGGCCGGGTCACCTGCCCTGAAGGCCAACACAACCACATTGGTGTGTGGTATGGTATTTATTTCCTCTACTTATTTTCCAAAAGTAAAGCAAAATGGCCTAAAACTACTTAAGGTGGGGTGAGCCAACCCTCAGTTTGTAAAGGAAGCTACACAAAGATGCCAAACCCAGAGCCTCCAGCATGATGCACACAACCAACCTGAGACTGCTGCCTCCTGCCACAACTCTGGAGCCCAGGATGTACCTGTCAAAGTCCTACATCTCAAACTAAGGCTCACTTATTCATGGCAGTTTCCTCACCCAACTCTGCCCCTAACTGTGGAATCTGATGTCAATAGTAGATGTGTTTCTAATTTTGCTAAAATGGGCCAACTAAGAGTACTGTCCCTCTTCATTGTCTTTTGCCCCAGAGCCTCTTAAGTCAATGTAGTGAAATGGTAGGGACATAATTGGAGTGAAAAGTTACTTGTGACTGTCCTAATGTGGCAGCCACACAAATTAGGCATCTTTTTCACCATTGTCTTGCTTGGAATACTGTGCAATTTACCTACTTTGGGATATCAGAATTTTTCATTATAAAACTCCAAGGCTAGCTAGGATTAAAAACGATAAGAGGTGGCATTATGGATTGCAGATGGCATGTAGTGCCACTGCTGGGGGCTTGACAGTTTCCTGAGACGCTTATGTTCTGGGTCCTTTGAGCTAGTCACTGGGCTCTGCATGTACTGTGTCCTCAGATCCCCTGGTGCCACAGGAGAGAGAAAAAGAGGAGGAAACCTCCCTGTGAGCTTTGAGCATCAGTGAAAACTATGGGCAGAACCTGTGTCAAGTCCTCATAGAAGGGAAAAGAAGCAAGCCCCTGCAAGGACCCCTCTTTCAGTTCCCTCTGAAATAGAAAAGGTGTTCAATGGCTTGCTCTAAGTGTTCAGAGCTCCTACCTTCTTCCCCCAGGCACAAACAGTGCTTGGTGGCTCTGTGACAGTTCACACCTGTCCTATTGCACTGGCAAATTTGAGGGGGAAACCCAATGAGATGTTTGGGGGGGTGGCTGGACAGACCCACTGCAAAGGCCACAACACATCAAAGAGGGCTCGAGGGTTGAGGCAAAGAGCGGGTCCAGCAGAACTGTCACACATCTGCCCTCCAGGTCTGATGGGCTTCCACTTCTTCTGGTACCACCAGTAGGAGTTCACAGTTTTTTCCTCGCAAATGGTATTTTAGAAATTTCCTATGAAAGAGGAATGAAATGCCAGTGAGTTGCAGATTGCAGTCTTGGGACCACCCTTCACCAGAATAAAAACCTCTCCATTTAACATCCACAGCAATCTTAATCTTTTTGTTTTTTTGAGACAGGGTCTCTCTGTATTGCTTTGAAGCCTATCCTGGAACTTGATTTGTAGACCAGGCTGCTCTTGAACTCACAGAAATCCACCTGCCTCTGCCTCCAGAGTCTAGGATTAAAGGTGTGCACCACCAACACCCGGCTGGCAATCTTTTTTGTTTGTGACAAGGTTTCTCTGAATATAGCTCTGGCTGTCCTAAAATTTGCTTTGTAGACCAGGCGGCCTCAAACTCAGAAATCCACCTGCCTCTGCCTCCTGAGAGCTAGGACTAAAGGTGTACACTACTACCACCACTCTTTGTCTATCTTAAAACTCCAAGGGTGACTGATTTAAGAGTTTCTATGTTTGGTTAACCCTTCATTCCTGTTATAATTCCAGTCTCAATTTTATTCTCACTCTCAGATATTACTGCCTCTAATGTGCTGGTGAATTCTAGAACACAGTGTATTCTAATGGTTACATATTCACAGGTTCTAAGTATCAAACAAAATAGCAAAACACTTGAGCCAGCTCAAGGTAAAGCACCTGTGAAGCAGGCCTAACAACCTGAACAAGATCTCAGGAACCCTGAGTGAAAGAAGACCGACACCTGATAATTGTCCTCTGGCCTCCATATATGCCCAGAGCACACACACCTGAACATACAATAATAAAAGGAAGCTGGAGAGTTAGCTCATGGCTCAGCAGTTAAGAGTACTGGCTACTTACTCTTCCAGAGGACCTGGGTTCAATTCCCAGCACCTGCATGGCAGCTCACAACTGTCTGTAACTCAAATTCTAGGAGATCTGACACCCTCACCAATGCACATAAACAATTTTTTTAATTAAACTTTTTAAAAAAGGAAAAAACTTCAGTTTCAGGGCTGGGAGTGGTGATGTCTTATGCCTTTAATCCCAGCATTCAAAAGGCAAGGGCAGGCAGAAGGCAGATCTCTGTGAGTTCAAGGCCAGCCTAGTTCTAGGACAGCTGAGACTACACTGTAACAAAAACAAAACACCTTTAGTCACAGAGAAACTTAACCCTGTCTGGACTGAATGTCATCTTCCTCTCTCTTTTTAAAGATTGATTTTTGTTTATTATGTACACAGGATTCTGTCTGCATGTATGCCTGCATGTCAGAAGAGGGCATTAGCTCCCATTATAAATAGTGTGAGTCACCATGTGGAAGCTGGGAATTGAACTCAGGAACTCTGGAAGAGCAACCAGTGCTCTTAACTGCTGAGCCATCTCTCTGCTCATCTTCCTCTCTCTTAACTGGCAGTTATCTAAATGCAGTGGTGACAGTGTCAGCCCCATTAGACCAGAGTGCTAGAATCACACCATGTGAAACCTGTTCATCAAAGAGATGGAGTCCTAATTGAGTCTTCAATCCAAGACCCTATGATTCCAAGAAGGCAGAGCAAGGATCCAGGGATACAGGAATTTAATTTCCTTTGTCAAACAATCAGATGAGCTTGACTTCCCCAGCATACTAAGCTAAAAGCCCAGCAGCCCAGCCTTTGGGGCTCACCTGAGCTCACTCTCGCCTCCAATCCACTCAGGCATCTTGAGTTTGGAGTCAAGGTTGTAGTAGGCCCCTCCCACCTCACGAACGCAGATCCAGTGCTGCCTTTTGAGAGGCAACTTGAGGGGACCCCAGCACAAGCTGGAGGGCAGGTTCATGATGAAGCCCATGACGTTAGTGAGAGCAATGACACCCACGTCCCTGCAGGAAAGAAAAGGTATCAGGCTCTGGGGCAGCCACTCTTCCAGGGTTGCCCCCATACACCTGGGGTTGGTTCTCTACCTGCGCTTGTCCCACCAAACAGCTTCATAGCCTTTGGTTTGAAGTGCTGCCATGATGACATTCACATCATAGTTCCCATTTCCCAGCATGCTCTTCTTGTGGGGTGTCACCATAGTATTTGGAGACAACCTACGAATGTAAAAAGAAAAGCTCAGGCTTGCTGATCTGCGTGGCCTCCCCAGCCTGGTACCACCAGAAAAACATTTTGCAGCACTACCTTGGAAGCTGATTCCCTCAGCAGAATATTCTCACAAGTTTCTACCTAAGCACTGCATGCCTAGCTCCTGCTAAAACTAGAGATTGCCTCTCCCAGTATAAAACAATTTAGGAAGGTTGAGACCTATTTGGCCTTTTGGGAGGAGTGTTACAAGAAAGGAATGACCCCAAGAAACGACCCACTGTTTCCTAACTGGAGGCCCCTCGTTTCACACTGAGCTTTTGAAAGACTCCCAAGCTCGTCTCCTTGCCTCCAAACTCTCCTTCCCACAGCTCAGCACATACCAAGGCATCATTTCAGCCCCTTCTCCGGGACTGACA